TGCCAAATCTGAAAATACAGTCTGGAGTTTGAATGCGTGCAGGGTTGGTCTTTTTTCTTCTTTTGCCTAGTGGATGGCCAAAGTTAGAGCCTTGCTTGCTTCGGTTTGTTCCCAGTGTTGTCAGTAATATCCCTGGTGATTCCTGCTCTTCTGCATGGTAATTTTTTGACCAGGTGCAAGCTGCTGGACTGGGTTGGTACACAAGCAAAAGGGAAATAGATCATGTTTCCTTGTGTTGGTTCTTCACAGCCTGTGACAGGAAGAACACAAGGGTTACAAGTTAAGACTCAATACAGAAATGAGGAAGAAGAGATCTTCTCACAGTGAAATTTCTTAGTGAGACCCTTCAGGATTTTGGAAACCTTCAAAAGCAGTGTTATGTTCTTCCATCACCTGATAACCCATTTTGAGCAACTGAGAATTAAAATATGCAGAGGAGTACATAATCACACCTAGGAAATTAAGTCAAGAAAGACTGGAAAATATCTCTGGGTCATAGATGTCTGCATGTGTTCACACTGCTGGGCTCCCTCCCGTCCAGGCTGTGCTGTTACATCTTTGGAGGGGAATAGCAGACAGATGTTGTCCTTGCTGATCCTGTCGGCAAGCACAAGTGTAGCTGACATGAGAGCAGGGGAAAAAAAGCAGAGTTTCCTAATGGGGTAATGGCATAATGGTATCTTGCTTTGATCAGAAAGGTACTAGGCATTTCTGGCCCTGAGAGCATTGCGTGCCAAATGTTGTTAGACACTAAGTGTATACACTCTGTGCCATCTGGGACATGGGCTCTAGGAAAGGGGACACTGAGCTGGCGTAAGCTGCTACCGTGGTGTTGCTGAAGTCCTGGGGCAGGTAAAGTTTATGCTGGCTGATGATCTGCCTGGGTTCATTATGGTGGAGGGATGTCTAGGATTTCATTTTCTACGGTACTTTCACCATACCCGTCTCCTTTTCCCCTTAAGAGTCAGTCAAAACAAAGCCCGTTTTAAAAGAAATGAATGTAGAAAATGTGAAACATAAGGATCTTTTACAGAGTGTCTTTTACAGTGCTGGGGACATAAAACAGGGCAGTGGAAGATAAACCATTATGTATGTTGAGGAAGTCTAAGAATAAAGATTATAGGCAAACAGTCTACCTTTCTTTACAAGGCCTTGATTTACATCCCTGAAATCTCAAATTTAGCTATTACAATGAAGTCCTGTTGCACACAGAGCTGACTTTTTATCACCACTTAAAATCTAATTAATCCGTATTGAAGCACAAAGATTTCTGTTGTGTTTTAGGGTGAGGGGTCATAGAGCCCTCTTTGTTCATCCTCAGGCTTGTAATCATCAGGCATTGGGATATAATTTTACCAAGCAAATTGGAAGGTAACAGATCAAATCCTTATCGGAAAGCCTAACTCATGGTTTAGCAAAGTCCTTCGTCCTTTATGTGAAACTTTATATTTGTGAAGAACAAAAAAGTGTTTCAGAACCTACAAGGGGTTAATAGCAAGGGCTTATATTTGGGGCAGCAGAGAATTAAAGTCATCATAGCTTCCACCATCACTCAAGGTAGCAGTTGTTACAGAACTGCTGGGGAGACCTTCCTCCTCAAGCTTTTAGGACTCTGCTCTTATAATGGCCTTGGTCTATCGACCACTGACGCAATTAAGTGGCATACTCTTCTCTCTGTTGGGATGGGTCCTATCCTGTCTCACTACCTATTTACCCCAGTGGAAAAATCTTAATTTGGAACTGAATGAACTGGAGATCTGGACCATGGGACTCTGGCAAGCTTGTGTTGTCCAGGAAGAAGGGGGAATGCAGTGCAAGGACTTCGATTCTTTCCTAGCTTTGCCTCCAGAGCTCAGGTTTTCTAGGATTTTGATGTTTTTTTCCAATGGATTGGGGCTTTTGGGCCTCTTGCTCTCAGGATTTGGGTTGGACTGTTTGAAAATTGGTGAAAGACAACAGGAACAAAAGAAACGGCTGTTGCTGTTTGGAGGAATGCTCTTCTGGATATCGGGAATTACAGCTATTGTCCCAGTTTCTTGGGTTGCCCATTCCACAGTCCAGGAATTTTGGGATGAGAATATACCAGATATTGTTCCCAGGTGGGATTTTGGGGAAGCGTTATTTGTTGGCTGGCTTGCTGGATTTTGTCTTATATTAGGAGGATCCCTACTTAATTGCACAATCTGTTCAACTGAAGTCCATCCATCTTCGGTCCATTACGCAGTAGCAGAACAGCAAGATCAGTGTCAACACTTGGAAACTGAAACTAGGCCTTAAAATTGAAGGTTTTAAGTAGTACAGCAAGACTGCCCTATCTTTTTCAAACACTAGTGCAAGCCAGAAGCTTGTTCTAGTAGCAATTCAAAGGACTCTTTGTTACCCGATTTCCTAAACTTTTATCTGTTTTCTCCATAACTGGTATTGGAAGGTGGTGTGTTTTCTCACCTGCAGAACTGTTTAAAACTTTGCTTCACTGCAGAATGCTGACATTTTCATAGCTTGCACAGAAAAGGTGCTTTTGCTTTCTCAACTGCACTGTAAAATCCTGAAAATGAATATGCATGTTCCTTTACAGCTTGGCTTTTAACCAAAATATGCTTCCTTTTCATATGCAACCAATTAAATGAGCCTCAAAGCTTGACTCCCTGTTGCAATTTTCCACTTGCCTAATGCAGTGGCGAACAGACTTGAGTTTTCACATCCTATAGTCTAAATACATGCGTTGCATCAAATTGTTTTTCTGTGTACTTGGAAATTGTTAAGAACACTGTAGGTTTCTGAAATTCTAGAAAGCTTTGCAGATGTCTTTTTGTGCATGGGGTGTTATGGGGGGGGGGCTTCATATCGAAGAGGTTGTGTTTTCCCAGTCTAGCACATTAAGCTGCCCAGACAAGTTATTCTAAGCATTTCTGGCACCTACATACTTTATGCACCAAAAATAGAGTGAGAAATGCTGCTTTAAAAATACTTACCTGTAACGGAAGAAGGTTGTGTATTGAGGCATTCTATATCCAGTCAAAGGCTCCTTAAGCTCCATTCACTTACAGCAACATCGTGCTCTGAATGTGTAACCTTTGACTTCAAACAAATTATCTTTAACTGGCCACAAAGCAGTCAGCTTCATTGGTTCTAAGTAGAAATGTATCAGCCTGGTGTTAAAACGTAGTTCAAAAACAAACTGTGAGGTGCAAAAACTATCAGAACTGTTAAAGCTTTAGCAGATTCATTGAAAGCAAAATACATGTTTTTCTTAAAAAAACCAAAACTAATGAAAGTAGAGCCCAGCTGTGGCCACACCCTTCAGCTAGCAGTTTACCACACTACCTCCCTATCCCCCAAACACTGCCCATGGAACCAGGCAACATAGAGCAGGAGGGGGGGAGGAGGATTTCATGCTTTATAAAACATGGTTTTAACTTTTGCTTACGTTCAGTATGACAAAGAATTGAGCAGAACAGTGTCAGCAAAACTGAGCAGTTTAGCGCTTCTGTGACTGACGGCTAAAAATGAGCTTGGTCCACAGACACAGGCTCCAGGTAGTTGGATTTCTGTTGTCTGTACCAGGATGGATTTTAGCTGGTACATGTACCTATTTACCAGGCTGGAAAATTCTCAGCTTCGACTTAAGTGTACGGGAGCCTTGGACCGTGGAACTCTGGCAAACCAGTGTAGTCCAAGATGTAGGATGAACAGTGTGTAAAGATTTTGATGCTTTGTCTCTAGAATTCAAGATTTCCAGGATTTTAGTATCTACATCAAATGGACTAGGACTCCTGAGCCTTGTGATCTTTAGTCTTCGTTTAAACTGCCTGAAGATGGAGGATACAGAGCAGAAGCTAAAGAAACAGCTCTTACTATTTGGAGTACTCCTGTGGATGGCTGGAGTTCTGGCCATAGTCTCTGCTTCTTGGGTTGCCCGTACTATAATCCAGGAATTTGGGGATGAAGACATCTCAGAGATTGTGCCCAGATGGAAAATAGGGGATGTACCATTCAGTGGTTGGTTTGGTGGATTTTTTTCATAATCCTAGGGGGATGTCTACTCCTCTCCACAATCTGCTTATCACCTGACCATCACTTACCAGAGCAGTATGCAATGGCAGATATGGAAGACACCCATGAACATCTGGAAAGTGGAAGTAGAAGACTTTAAAAATGGTAGATATCAGGTTTTCAGATTTCTTACTCTTGCGTTACAGTAAGAAGGGTCTGCTGAACAGACAGGTTACTGTTTACAAGATCAGGGGGAGGGATTATTTCTTATTAAGTAGTTCCTTTAGTCACTAGTTACCTCCGGTTTTAATTACATTAATCGATGAACTGTGGAGACCTGTCACCAGTATATTTCTCTGCAATCTGCTTAATTGCAGTTTCTGATTCTGTAGGGCTGAGTATAAAATTTTTAACCTCTGGGTGTGCACGGAGACTTGACCCTGTTTTAAATGGCCGAACTCCTAGTGGGGCTGCTTTAAACAATGTCTTTTTTACAAAGATAAGATTAGTTTAAGTCCTGAAACAGTTTGTAGTGCCAGTTCAACATGTGTTACAAAACCCTAATACAGTACAACCTTGAATGAAGTTCTATGGACCTGTATCACTTAGAGTAAACCAAATGTTCTCAGACATCATGTCACATAATTAATACAAGATTTTCCACTGTGAGGGAGAGGGAGAATATCCCTGACTGCATCCCTGCATGCATGCTCGCCCTAAAGAAAGTCAGTATTTCTGAATTAGATGTTGTCCAGGGGAGAGTGGACAGTGGTCAGTGCTATGGCAGTTTTTACTTAGTTCTTTACATGCATTAACTTAAATTAGTTCTTTACATCAAGTGAAGAAGTTTCTGTATAACTTAAGACTTGTCAGTGATGTGAACTTTCTACAAATTGCACTGATTTTACATTGACAAAGCTGTAGCAGCCATCTGTTTCTGCAAAGAGCATACAAAGACACAGAACAGCAATAAAAGAAATAAATAAAACACTGGTCTGGAAAAGAGCTTTGTTAAAAAATGTATTCTCCAATCACTGAAACACATGGAAAGTGCAGAGACAAGTTAATCTATGTGATGTGCTTGCATACTCTTACAGACAAAATTAGAACAGAAACACATTCAGAATATAACCTGATTAAATATTTAGTTCAGTCCTGAGCTTTTGATATTTAATACAGTATAAACATAGCAATAGTAAAAAAAATCTTAATTATTTGATTTGTGTTCTATTACAATTTCTGCTAAACTTTGCTCATTTGGCTAAATATTCGTGTACCAGTAATATTTAGATTTTGATATATGCAACTGCTGTGACATTGGTACCTGGAAATAGAACTAATTACATTCGTTATACCCTGCTGTGCAGGGCAAATTCCACTTCAGGAGTAACACTTACAACTCTAAACTGATGGGAGTTTATTTGTATGTATTATTTTAGCTTATTTATTGTTTCAAGTGTGAATAATCTGAATTAGTAAAAAACCCCCAGAACTCCAAACCCAGAATTGTTAAAAGCTGCCTATAACTATGTTCAACTTTACCAATTTGTAAAACGAGGAGCTTAAACATATTCAAGTCTCTCATTTTTAAGTAAGTTTTTCAAGCTAAAGCCAGCAATACTTACATTTTGACCTCACCTCACACTTACAGATCAGAAGATAGTACTTTTTTTGAAAATTACTCAACATGTGAGGAGAAACAGCTAATCTGGTAAGAACTGAGAGAGACCTAAATATTTTTCACAATAGCATCCTTGATGTAATATTTTTACGGCCAGAACTGAACTATATTAAACAGAACATAAATAAGACTGTAAATAAATAAAAGAAAAAAATCATAAAGTACACCTCTAAACATCATTCTACAAACAACTTATATAATCAAATTAATTTGAAACTGTCAACCTTCATTTCACCTCTACATTAAATAATTCCAGATTTTTTTTTTTTTTAAATTGACCTTTCAAACATGAATGTTCTCTCAAATCCAAGAAACAAAAAACAAACGGGGCATTCATAAAGGATGTTCAATCAGTCATCTTGCCCAAAATAGCATGTTTGGCTATACATTTAAGTGAACTGATGTATGTGTGCATAAGAAAACCCTTGGGTGTTACACAGACCTCTCAGCACAGAATTGTCACTTTGAATTTAAGACAGCTGCTACCATATTGTGGTTGTATTTGCTTCCATTTTCTCACCAAGTAATTATAGCCTTTTTGAAAGATGAAGTCCATGCATAGGTGGCTTGTTGCTGGGGAAGAAAACTTTAGCCAGTGAATTAAACACATCTGAGTGCAACATATTAAGTAGAAAATGAAATACTTCTGTTAGCTGCAATGTCCACCTACTTAGACAGTACCCACAGAAGATAAGACGCCAACTGCTTTACCAAGACAGGGCTGCTTAAACACCTACATCTAATGTTCTGGGCTTCTAACAGAATGCATCCAAGTGGATGCTTCTTCCTAGCAGGCTGCTTCATGTAAGGCAAATTTGAAACACGTCATTCACATCTAAACCTGTGCACCCTCAACTACCTACAAGGTCAATTGTGTATTTTTTAAAAATGTTATTTATTGTACCGAAATATGTGAAGACTTCTAGTCAGGAGCTTTTCTTTTTCAGAAAGGGCTTACCTTATCAACAAGACTTCTGATATCTGAGTTAGTATGTGACAAATTTTTTTCCTGGTACAAAGACTTTAATGAGACATCTTAATATCTGTAAACCTAACAAATACTTTTATGTATTCCTAGTTGGCAGTCAGACAGCCTCTAGGTCAAAAGGTTAACGTAGAGAAACTGTCATTTTTAAGTGTACAGGGGAAATAACTACTCCAATTTCAATGCTGGTATTATGAATTAAATTCAGCTTCCAGTTCAGAAAGCAGCTGCCCCTTTTGGTTGTCACATAAGTTTTTAGGGTTACTTGTCTGCTTTGCCTTTCTCACTCTCCTGCAGATGCAAGAAACCGTTTAGTGCAGGTTACAAGTACTGTACATTCACAAAACTAAACTCCAAACTCTGTCTCTTCCTACAAAGTATTAAAACACAAAACCAGAAGAAATTTGTTTTCAGAAAAAAAATTCCAATGTGGGTGATGAATCTAATTAGCAGCTGTTGTGAGGCAGCCTTGATGTTGTGGAAAGGAGCTTTTGCTTGTGATTAACTTTAAACTATAAAAGTCACACTCTTGTACAAAAATATTGCATGGCAAAACAGCCATCTTCACAGTCTGCTCACATGAAAATAGTGAAAAGATAAACAATCTTCTGTTGAACATAATATTTCTCAACACAGTGCAGTTCAACAGGATACATGCTTAGTACTGCCTTTGTTCCTTTGTTCCATCTTTACAAAATAAAAACACACATGCAATACATACAAACTGTACAAAATCAGCATCAGTATACCAAAATTAATCTACTTTGGTTTTCTGGATGTTGGGGCTTTTTTGCCATTTTTTTAAGCATACAATTCAATTCACTATATTTTACAAATAAACATATCAATAGTGAATGTAAAATAGAAGATCTTTAAAAGCAGGTCACTGGAACTACAAAGTTCATCTGAAAAGAGATGAACAAGTGGAAAAACACTTCAATGAAAATGCATAATTATACATCATCAGCTGGAAGGGCTGGTATACTGATCTTTGCCCTTGTGAAGTATGCTATCTTCTCCCTGAAATTATAAAAGAAAACAAGTTATTATTTTACTATTTATGGAATGACTCCAATGTCATCTGCTATAGAGTTGCTAATGTTATGGCATAGTTCTTTAAAATGTAGGTTTGGAAAATATACAGTGAGGAAAATACGCAGAATTTATGTACAACAAATGTGGTGTTCTGACATAATTCCTTTCTTAGGCAGATTTAGGTAAAAAGCAGCTCCGATTTTGAAAAAGAAAAAAAAAAATCAATATTCATTAATAACTACAATGAGGAGACTGAAATATTGATCTAGTCACTGAATTTCCTATGATGATATTTCTGTGGGGGGACGAAAAGGAAAAATAAAACACTTTATCCTGACTTGGGAAAAGGGGAAAAAAAAAAAATAATTGGCTCTGGGCAAGACTCAGAGAAGAAGAATTGTCAACCCATTCTCTAGTTGCCTCCCCTGTGCTGTTACCATTTCTGTCTCCTATGAACTGGGAGTTAGTGAAGCGTAACAAGCTTGTCTGTCAGCAGCCTAGAAAGCAGATAAGTATTAGGGGCTTAAAAATTAAAGCTCAGAAGAGTCATTCTTGAGAGCTTCAAAAAGCCCTCTGTGTGATTAGGCTGTGAGGCCACAGCACTGTAACAAGTCCAACTACCAGGACTTGTACAATTCAGCCTTAGGAGGTGACTATTTGTCCAGTAGACTAAACCATGTTTTCCACTGGCAAAGCTCGAGTTCCCATCAAAGCCAGCAGCTCAGAGCAAAACCAACTATGTAAAATGGATTCCTTGGCTAGTTGTGTGGTGATTACAAGATAAAGGGAGAATGGAGTCTTACGATATCCTTCTTGCAGGGGAACGTTGTCTTGAGCACTACCACACGTTCCTGTAAATGTGGGCACCAGTCTGGTTGCGATGAATGTTAAATGACCAGCACTGACCAAAACACTCAACACTTGAACAGAAAGTGAAAGCTGGTTGAAGATGCTCTGAATTTCATACTGAAAAGAAATAGTTCAGCTGTGACACTTCTTTGCTGAGGAACCCCCTTCCTTTCTCTCTTGCTTTGATTCTGCATCACTTACAGTTGTGGTTTGTAGTATGTGCCTCGCAGGCCTATTTGCTTATGGATTTCTCAAACTGCTCACAATAGACTGGGTTAAAAAAGGAAAAAAAATCTTCATGCTAAGTAGGAGCTGACTTAATTTTAGTATCGAGGAATCCAAAAACCAAACTTTAAAAACATGTTAGTGACAAAACAGATTAAATTAGCTTGCAGTACTGTTTCTATGTGGAAGACTAAGCACTGTATTTTTCAATCAACATTTTAATGTTTGTTTTTATATAGAAGTGTGGCCTTCAGGCTGCTAGCCCACCACTTACTGTCCAGCCTTTTAGGAATTTAGACCAGTTAGAATTAAGGTTTGAAATAGTCAAGGATTCTTCCTTAGCATAAACCAGAATGAACACTTCCTAATTACTTCATGTAATTGATTGCTGTTCCCACAACCAAAAGGAGGAAGGAAACAAGGAAGAGGGATTCAAGATCTTTCTTGAATAATAAGCCTTGAGCAAGGCACAAGCAGTGGCTAATCACCTTCCTGGTGAGATGTATACTGTCCTCCTTCTTGAGGGGCCATTTGCTTCAGGCACCTGCCATCACCAGAAAAGATCCCATTACTTAAAGCCCACTGTCAGTCTGCTGTGGGTGAGGTGGGCCATGGCTGTGGTCCCACACGTGCCTGCCCACAGCAGATGCTACATGGAGGTCTGAAACTTTCCACTCAGCTGACGTACTGCTGCCTCTGCCACACGAGCCAGCTACCGAGGCCCGGTCCTTCGAAACTCCAACTTTGAGCTATTTCAGAAATGTATGATGCTGCTTGCAATTCAAAGGCATGTGGATTTTTGACTGGTATTACAGGGCGTGTCTGATTATATTTGGAAATAATTAATTTGACTTCACTATATTAAAAAGGGCATGAAAAGCAGAACAGGCCATACCTGAATGACTGCACCTGCAGTGGCACTTTCTGGCTCTGCTCCCGTAACCGGCACACGTCCTTAGATGCTTTCCTCATCAATTTCTCAGCGCTTAAGCCTTGTTTCTGTTCTTCTTTTGACTGTTCAGCCTGTAAATGGGAAAAATAATTATATTTTGCTAATACTGAACAGCTACTCATTTCAAAGGAATGGCAAAGTCTTCTGTGACATGCAGAACGCTTGGCAGTTTACAGTTGGACTCTATGATCTTAGAGGTCTTTTGCAACCTAAATGATTCCATGAAAATCTCTATACAAAAGGGCAGCAAGACAAGACTGACATCACAAACCTAAGCCATAGGCACGAAATAAGGTAACAGACCTTTTCCTAAAAAAAAATAGAGCAAAGCCCATGATGTTACAGGGGGCTACTAGGTGTTAAGAATTTTGATTGGATATTCCTTAGGGCTATAGTTAGACAATACCTACGTCTGTATGAATTGATGTTGTCTATCCAAATGTCTTTTTAGATCTGTGAGACAGTGATTCTCTTCCCCTGCAAAATGCTTTCATTTCCTAATGAAAGCTCTTGGGGAAGTTGCCTCTACCTACTCTAAAATGACAGATAAAAAAAGGAGGGAAGGCATGCTCTCAAAATACACTTCCAAATTTTGTTGACCTTGTTGGCAAAGTTAATATTCATGAACTTTTGTGCTTTTATTCATGACACGACACCTGTTTTGCCTGTGAAACTGCATTGTAGAAGGGCAAAAGCCAAGGCAAGTGAACAGAACACCAGCAGTAACAAGATCAAGGACCTTTCTTGAAATGAACACTGCTGAGCAGCTACATACCCACCGTAAGTTACAGTATCACTGTGACTCAGTGGTGCTGGCTCCATTACACCTGCCCCATGGACAGGACAGCTGCAGCCGTGCCACGCACCATTTTGGCGATAGACTGCTCTCAGAGTTGTCTTTTGTTTTTTAAGACTTTATCAAGGGTTTCCGAATGCCCAATAATTTGAACAGCAGCTCTTTTTAGTCACCGGGATTTCTCTGACTAATGGTCACCATTGGTGTGTGGGTGAGTCCCATCACACAGTGCATGCTTTATCACCCCCACCACGTGTGGGGTTCACAGCTTCATTTCTAGACTGCAGGGACTCTCTGTCAAATGTTCTTTACTCTATTTTGAATTTTGCCAGCCATCAAAATTTAATAGGAGCTGTTCACGTTCTTGAACGATTTTTAAAGTTCTTTAGAGGTTAATTTTTGATGCTTAACTTTAGGCACTCAGACTTGAAAATGCTGTTCTGTTACCTCAAATTAAAACACACACCTAAGCCAGAAACAGCGGTCTTCAAAGTTGGTTTGTAACTTAGGAGTTCACGTCTCCAGTTCTGAATTCCACGCCAGACACTCCCAAACAACAAAACCAACGAACTCAAAAGTTAGTCCGTGACATTGATAAGTTTCATACTGGATATTTATAGAAATCTGTTCACAGCAGGATAGTGGTACCCTCTGTTGAGAAGCACTCCAGTGTTTTATGTGAAAATGTTTTACATGAAAGAGCACCACCCTTTCAAAAACTGACTCAAAGTCCAGTCATCTTGTACTTCTTGAGTTCCCGACTCCAAAATAGCTATGATTTTAAAATGAAATTAACTAATAAATATTGTTTTCCTGAGCGAACATAAATTTGCAAGCTACAACTGGTAGTGTCTTAATTTTACATATGTCAGTGGCCATATGCTTTATCAGCTCCCCTAGTTAATATTTATAATCAAAGCACTAAATATACAATAATCCAAAATTTTCTAATTTTATCTTTTCCCTAGCTATACATGAGACTCTTGTGACTACTGCATTTCAGGTTAACAGCACAGATGACTTCTTTGTTTTCATACTCTCTATTACCATATATTCCTTTTTCATTTTTTAAATCCTTTTAATTTTTCAGGATGCTCTGAGAAACTTTGATTTCAGCCCAATGTCTCTTAAGAGTATGCATGTGAGAAGGTTTGTACATGACCAGGTTTGTATTTATGCTATGTTTCTTGCATGATTTGTAGATAGTGAATCCTCCACCTATATAAAATACAGAAAAGCACACTAATCCATTGGCCATACATTCAGTAAGTGCCAAAAATCTGGCACTGATCTGCCAAAAGTAAGTGCCTGATAGGAATCTCTATATCTGCACTTGGTTTAAGTCTGAGATAACAAAGATGACACAATATCAGAATTAAAGCTGAAACACCAATTCCTGTCTCTGTTCTTGACTCTAAAGAAAAACTTAACTGTGCTAAACACCAGAACATTGGAACCAAGGACACATTTGTTGTATTAATGACATAATGACAGATTACCTCTACATAGAAGATGTACTGAAAAGAAAGAAAGGTGATCTTTACAGGAATCCTTTTTGGACATACACAGAGAGGAAGTACTTCAGAGAACTCTAGGTGTCTGAAAACTAACTTGTATGAGGATTTAAGACTCAAAATTTGAAATACTGTGTGATTTCTCACGAAAGTGCAATCTAAACAAGAAAATGCTTGTGGTGCACAGAATCACCTACTGTTCTCTGATCTGCAGGTATTAGTGGGCTTTCTGTACCCGCTGTACTGCAGAAGGTGTGGTAGGAAAGAGAGGGAAGGTATGGAGTCTGTGTGTTTGGCTTCAAGCAGAGTAACTGCATGCTAGCAAGCAGCCACTGATTTTCAACATCCCCCATATCTGCGGTTTCATTTTTCACTTGAGACTCTCTCAATTTCTTTGGCACTTCCAGCTGCTGCATTAGTCTGCGCCATTATAATGCCTACAGGATCTAAAAAATTATCTATGACAATGTTCTCTAGGCTGCTGTGTATTGCTAAGCCAAAAGGAAACACTGACAGCAGAGTACAGCATTCTCAGTGTTGTTTTGCTCCACAGGGGAAGGCTGCAATGATTTTAAGGGTAGAAATATTTCCAGAAACTTTGTAAGTGCTCTTCAAAGAGATGGAGTGGCTGTGATCACTGTTCTGACTTTTAGCTTGGGAAGGACTTAAATGCTGTGCTGCAACCTGCACATATTTTAGGAACGTACATTATTACCCTTATTCCTCATCACAATGTGTCAATGGTGTTGATCACTGACACCAGAGATTTAAAATATGACAAACTTACCTGCTGCCTTGAAAGAGCCAATTGAAATAAGAAAGCACAAATCCAAAGGATTAAATGTTGCAGAGGCATACTCTAGTCTAGTGGATATAGCTTTAGAGTTGGAGTAGTTTTAAATAAACAATTAAAAATTATAATTTCTATCCTGCGTCCAGCAGTAGATATAAACTATGAACTTCTAAATAAATTTAGTTATGCTTCTTTGATATAAGCTACTATTTTTATGGGTTGAAAGTTAGAAAGATCAAATTCATACAGTGAATTCACATGGTAAAAAACCACACAGTTACACTGTGTGTTGTTTAAACATTGGGCTGTCTTATCCCTTTTTGCCCAAGGCTTTTTTCAGAATACTCGTCAATGCTCAACCTAAACTCTGCTATATTTTATAGCCATTTTAGAACTCCACTAGCTATAGCCAACAGCAGATGCCAAGGAAAGAGAGACAGGAAGACAGAGAGGACAGAACAGGGCATAAACATAGAGCTCGGAGAACACAGTGGGAAAAAGTTTTGTTTCCTAAGCTATCAGACAGTCAAGGAGTTCTTGCAATTATAGCATTACGGTTAATGACCTCCGATTGATAAGTTCATGGAAGAAAAATCCAACTGGTTTTTGAACCTATGCAAACTTGCAGCACTCGGTGTCCTGTGGAAAATATTTTTACAGTTTCTAGCTGTTTGGCTGTGTTTTCTTGCATTTAACCTGCCACCTCTTCAATTCCCTACTTCTTGTATAATAAAAGACAATGATTAATTGTTCTCTCCCACCTCAGTCATGATGTTATAGACTTCAGTTGTAGCTACTTAGCCACTCCTAACATGGAAGTTGTTTCCTCCTTTGACCATCCTCGTTGACCCTCTGTAGTTTTATTATTCGCTTTAAGAAGGGGAACAAGAACTGACCAATGTTTAAGTTACAGGCATAAGAGGTATTTATATTGTAAAACTGATTTGTTTTGTTCCAACTTCTTTTCTTAGTAATTCCTGTCTTAATTGCTGTTTGACATGTGCTGATCCCTGTGACATTTTTGCTTCTTATATCCAGAGCATCTCATTCCTAACATCTAATTCAGAGCTCAGCTTTGTAATATGTAAATATTAGCATCATCCCTTCCCTCCTCTACACAAGACTGTTTACTGACATTTAGCTTTTAAAAAACCAAAACAACAAAACCAACAACAACCGCTTACATATTAGGAGATCCTCTGCACCTCGTTAAAACTGCTTTCCATTTTTACTACTCTGAATAACTTGGTGTCATCAAAACGCTGATCTCTATCAGCCATAAACAGCTGTAGAGTACAAATCCCTCCCAGATGTCAACAGCAGTGTCCCCTTATCGAAGACTGATGTACATTCACTGACACAGATGGGAAGGGGGCTCCAGAGGGCAATTTACTCCAACCTCCTGCTCAGAGTAGGCAAAGCTAGAGCTTAGTACTCAGGGTCTTGTCCAGTTAGGTTCCAAATATCTCCAACTGTGGAGGTTGCATTTTCTCTTCCCCTAACAACCTCTCTAGGCCCCTAATTCCAGTGTATGATCACCCTCACAATTAAAAAAAAAAAAGACCACCTCCCCAAAACATAACAAAAACCCCGCAACATCCAACTTGTAATGTATCCTGTGGGAATTTTCTGTGTTCCAACTTGTCACTGTTGCCTCTCATTCATTCTATCCTGTCTCGTCTTTTATCCACATGAGGGCAGCCCATTACCTTCTGCAGTTTAGAGACAGTGCATATATACTTGCATTGTTTTAAAGACCATCACGTAGAGAATAGAATTTGGCTTTCACCTGCCAAAACGAGAACAAGTATGTCCTGCATCAGGAAGTAAGCCACGATGGAAACACTGCCTTTCCCACATGCCCCTAGCACTGTAAGTAATGGTCATCGCCTCTCTCTTCCTGTTAGAAACATCTTTTGGCTACAAAGTCTGTGCAGACTGCAAATCAGCTGATGCTGAAGGACAAAAAGCATGTGCGTGTCTGCAGAAGTACGGCTGGGACGAGAGAATTTTACATTAACTTCTACGTAAATGCCATTTTGCTACATCGACCACAACTATTACTCTGAATAGCAGAGTTTCTAATCTGAATTATTCAAGTATTTAGAAGGCACTAGAAACCTACTACCTCAAATTCTAGGTTTAAATGCTGTAGTATTGGCTAATAAAGAAATACTGTTTACACTACAGAGTGCAGAGGTGTAATTAGTCAAATGTGAGCTTCTGTAAAAATCTTTGACATGATAGACCACATTTTTTAACAAATTTATAGAAAGGGAAGGGGCATATGTGTGTTCACTAACACAGTATCTGTATGCTGCTCATACCTGTTTTTCAGCTTGTTTCAAGAGTTTCTGGAATCGCTCATCCTCTAGCACACACAGGGGAAGGTCTGTCTCTCCTCTGCCTTTCATTTCCTCAAGCTTTTGTTTAAGATCCCGCAAGGCCTGAAGCTCATCATTCAGACGATTCTGTCTTGTGCGTGACGCCTGGAGGTCCAGCTCCAAGTCAAGGGAAGTGCGTATGGGGCACTCTTGCGTAGCTCTTCGCATGATTGGTTGGCAAACAGGCTGAATCATTTGGGAGACAGAACAATAAAAATTAGTATTGAGAACGGCTAGTGTAGGGTTTGACATAATACAGTCAGAAAAGCTCAAGTATTTTTTGTTTTTCTTTAACAGAAAGCTGCTATGATAAGATCCATGTTGAAAAAATTTATCTATTCTGGAATTTTTCTTCAGTCACTAGCTAAAAAGAAATGAAAAGGTTTTCCCAACCAGGTGTACAATGATGTATTTACAGGTTAAAATCAAAAACCCCATTCCGATCCCCAGGACAAAATAATGCCAGGAGACCAACGCTACACAGGCTTCCCCATAGATTTCAGCTACATTATTTACTTGTATAAACATTTGCTTTTTCAAGGCCTAAGCAAACACCTAGTGTTACAAACTCTGTAAACATGCACTACTTTAGTGTATTTCGCATTATTTACTGTCCTTTCACAGTGACTTTTCGCATGAGTAAGTTGAGCAGGAGAAGCCATCCCAGACTATTCAGTATTTCTTTCTTACGCCAAATGTAATCCTGCTACCTGGTAACAACTCTTCTGCAGAAGGTTTTTTTTTTAGTCACAATCAAGATTAAAATATAACTCTCTCAATTTACGTAAGAATGAACCCCATGCAAAAGACATACAGTCATAATCTCTTGTCCTTCAAACCTTTTCCTACTTGAACACTCTCAGAGAAGAGTAAATCCCCTTTACAAGGACATCTGAATCCTTGAAATTCCCACCAAAATTTGCTCAAGATGTATACTGCTGGTGTTGACTTTTGTGCAGCATAAGCCACCTTGGGTCACTTTAATATTTGGGTTATTTAACACAAATCCCTTTGACAGTAACCCGCTAAAGCTCAACAGTAAATGCCACGATGCTGAGCACCAGTGGCTTGCTGCTGGCTTCAGCCACAACCAGAACAGTATCAGCTTCGGTGGGGGCGGAAGATGTAGGTCTGAGACCTGAAACTACAGGACTACGGGTGGTACTTGCATCGCTTTTGCTGAAATACTTGAAATAAGGCATACTGCTTAAGTCATTTGTTATTCCTTCTCTCCCCATACTGGGTTTTAAACCATGTCCAGGTAAGGTAGCACATACCCGTTTAACTCTTAGGCTCCGCCGTTCTGTGGCATTTCTCACAAAGAGAGACTTTTTGGCTAGCGTTGAGCTGTCGCTGTCACTTCGATTCAACTGTCAAAATGTATATAACAAACAGAGATATAAAGCACCTTCACATACAAATACATCTGTATTGATATAACCAGTCAGAAAACCTCAGGGTTGATATACATGTCGGTCATTCTCAGTATAAAGTAAACATTTTTTCAACTAAAATAAGCACCTACTCTAAAATTCTGTTCCTAAACCAAAGATAACCATCGATCTTACTGAATCAATAGTAAGTAGGCTCTTTAGGAATGCAAGGAAGGTAACCGTGGTTATTAAGTGCTGCCAAATCACTATCTGGCTGCAGATTACAAACCATGGATCTCATTTACTCGGGGCAGGCTTTTAACAAATTTCCTACAGGGAAGGTAAATTACTGTAGACATGCACCTGTCCAAAAAAACGGTATTTTTGTAGTAGTATTATTATTTGCAACAGGTGTGCCTACAGCTTCCTTCGGAAGCACTTCCTGCTTCTCAAAAATTCGCATCACAGCTCAACAGTAGTTTCTTCTTAATTGTAGCATTAATTCCACATGCATCAGTGTGGACTGATTGTTGGATGCATCAGCACGTGTGGTAGCAACCTTCAGAGAAGACAGAAGCAGCATCTATCTGCAGGATATTTATTTCACCTCCTCAGAAAAGGACAGACAGAAAGAATCATTCTGCTAACATGTCAATAACCAAAGCCGGAGCCCTAAAGCATGCTTATACAGGACTGACTGGGAGTTGGAGGTGAGAAATACAACCTCTTGCAATACGAGTATACCTCGAGAGAGAGAGAGCAAATCTGGTTTTGCACCATGGAGCCACTACTGGGAGCTCACCCCTGGATACGCGCAGGTGGCCGTCATCACCAATGTTTTTGAAGCTCTTTTCAAGGGAGATTTCTAAAGGCACCAACAGGCTTTGAGTCTGTCCTTTAGGCCTCAAAAAATCTTTGGTTTTGGTATAACATCATATCAGAGTAGGAGCTTTCTTAGAAGCCAGCCCATCTCTTCTGAAAAGAGCAGCTGGCCGTTAGCCAGAGCGTGTCCAGCAGGTGCTTTCCTTGGTGCAGCACCTCCGAGCAAGCAAGGCTGGACTGGCCGGTGGTGCCAGCTGGGGACCAGGACCCAGGAGACCCGAGCTGTTCAGCCCTCTCCGTGGGCTTGGGGGCACCTACAGTGCCCGCTCTTGAGCCCTGAGAGTGGACTACAAGCACTTCTGAAACTGCAAAAGTTTCACCTGTGCAAACATGGGCTTTCCCCAGAGCACTTTTCTTCCAGGCAATACCGTACACAAAGAGAAAGAGAATGGTTTATTCAAGGTATGGTTTTTTTAGATTCTGGCTTCTGGCAGCAGGTACGTAGCAATGTTCAAAGCTACAAAAGCCCAACATTTTTCCAGTTGCAAAATCCTCAGTTTATATTAATCAGAGCAACTACTGTTACTTCCTGTCCAAGATCTCCACAGGCAGTAGGCTAAGGCTGTATTTTTTCTGTCAATATGACTGATTTTCAGCGTACAGGAATTAAGATGAAGGCCAGGTTCTGAATTGAGCCAATAATCTATCCAAATTATATAAAGATTGTTACAAAATGATCTGCTGTGTTTCGTTCTGGAGTGTATACAGAGTAGCTAAGTATGCAGAAACTGACTATAGATTTTTTTTTTTTTCAGGCCAATGACAATCACAGAGAAGTGATCAACTTTAATGTTCCCAGATGATTAAGGCAACCACCTCTAATCAAACTGAAGAAGAATTAAAGCATAAGTGTTTTTTTTTAAAAAGTCATACTTGTGTGAGTAACCTAGTTGCCTGTAATTAAAATCTACAAAGCTGGTAATCCATGTTTGATTCGTTAAACACATGATTTTCACAGCTAGTTTAACGGCAATAGGGCTGACAATTTAAATCTTTTTCTTTTTTTTTTTTTTTTTTTTCCATGCTACCATAGATCTAGAGAGACTGTTGCCAAAGCCATGTTTAAAACTCAGCCCCTAGGCAGCGCTCACACATCTTTCAAAAATGTAATTACAGCAGGATTTGGGCTGCCCAGGTTTAAAACTAGTTAAGATACAAAGTGAGATTTAAAACTGATGACTGAACTCTTTCCACACTGTTACCCTTAAATGGTTACATTATTAAAATATGGTAATGCAATGGCAGTTTACAGAGAACTCTATTCTGTGTTTTAACAAATCATTTTGCTATGTGAGCAGCAGCTGCTGACGTGCAGGGAAACACACTTTTTGCAGAGAGCCAGCACAGGCATCCGTGTTACTCCTCTCCAATAGGATGTATTTTTGCCCTAGTAAAGGTGTTTTGCAAGAGTATGCAACTGTGCTGAAAGTCAGTTCTACTACGCATCAGGTCAGTTAGGGAAAGAAAGGATCCAGAGAAAGCACAGGCTCTGCCCCTCACAGGGAGAACTGGTACATGACTCACTGTCATTAATGCATCATTCCCAGGAAGTTAAATGACTCTTTATTTAATAGCTCTTCATTCCAAGTGGTTTTCCTCTTACCCTACAGATGTATTGGTTCCGCTCGCCTGGAGAGAAGGTTTGTGAGCGCACTATCATGCTGTTCCTGACAAAGGGACGCTGTCTTGAGCTCCAGCTGGCTCTGTCCTTGGGTCGGACTGTTGTGTTCTCGTTAACCGATTCCTCAGTGTTAGTCTCTTTATCGACCTATGAAAAGGAATTTAGTTTATAAGAACTATTATACCCAGACACATGCCACCAGGTAGTTTTTGTGCCTTTGGATTTTACAAGCATTCTTGTTACCTTGCAGCAGATGGAAAAAAGACCAGCAGCAAAAAGCATCTTGCACATACAGAGAAGCTATGCTAAGTAAAGAAACAGAAAATTCCTAACCCCCTTAACAGTGTGTGGAGAGTCTTTGAAGATACTCGTTGAATCCAGTAAAACCAAAGCTTTTGCAGAAAGGCCTTTGCTGCCCTGCAGATAGTCTGGTGCAACCACAGTGCAACAAGTGTTTTACAATGAGGTCTGCTGTGCCTTTCACTCACTGCCCAGGCCCACCCAGCCCCGGCTCAGCAATACGCTTGTGTGTGTGCCTAACCTTCAGATGTTGTCCTTGATGGTCTCCCCTTGCCAAGTTAGGGCTTTGCTCTACATTTGCTCGCTACCCAGCAGACTGTCAGTCCTTTTATACCGTGGCCTTAGCTCTTTTGGTACCTTGCCACATTAACTGAGAGTTAATTACAGTTTCCAGCAAGTCCACTGAGGTGGTGGAACTTTTGTATTGTCACAAACTTGAAGGAACAAGATGTCATTCTTTGCCTTTTTACCTTTGCTCTTTTACAGAGCCTGTGGGTTTAACGCAGGCAACAGTGTTTTCATCAAGATGCAGAAAGGTGTTCTAAAAATCTTCTTTCTAGAGTATCTGCCACCACATCAGGGATGTTTACTAAAAATTAACTAAAAGTGCTTTCAGAAAGATGGAATAGAATTTAAAGCAAACGGTTAACAAGAACATGGAATTAGAATTCGTTATGTGCAGTGTGTGGGTAGTTCAATAGTACACAGTTTAATACACAATTTAGAATTTTCTGATCATTATTCTTTCCTTCCCTTCTCTGCTAAGCTAGTTTTTATATTTCACACCCTAAAATAAATGGAAGAAATAAGGAAATCCCCTCATTGGTTTAAAGATCTTGATCCCTGTTGTGTCTTGCCCCCTGTTTATCAGATGAATCAGGAAAAAAAGGAGACAATGAAACAAATGTGCAGAAATATTTTAAATGTGCACAAGTTGACTCTCCTGAACTACACTTGTATTTCAAATATTCTCCCTATGCAACAAAAAAAAATAGAAGATATACATTTTTAGTTAATTGTCTTTGACTTAAAAGTTCTGCCTAAGCATATTTGTTAATTGTCCTCTTCACAGCTCGGAAGTGACCATGCCAGTTTCATTAAAAGTGCCTACTAACAAGTGCAGAGGTCACATAAGATCGTAAATGCTCAGGTGGAGCAGACATTAACTGCTCACAAGTAGACCTTCAGCCACAGTAAGATACTGTAGAAGTGCATTTTAAGATACTCACCAGTGTTAGTATTGCAGCAGCTTGCTGGCTTTCATGGCCCTCCCCACTGTTCTCTCCGTCCTTGTCTTCATTTGTTTCCGGTGCATCAATGAGTAACCCCATGTCATCAGTACAGTTGCCTTCTACTGCCAGCTTAATGCCATCTTCCTCTTCATCCACAATTTCATCAGAGGCTTCTGCGAGCATTTCTAACCTGTATAAACAGAAGTAGCCCAGGCTTATTATCAAGCTGAAAAAGCCCACTAGAAAGACGTATCAGAAGGCCTAGTATAATGTACCTTCACCCATGTATAATGTACATATTCTCCTGAGGGGAAAACAAGAATATCACCCAAATGCTTCCACCAAGTTCATATGAAGGCACTTTTCATTATATGCTCCAGTAAAACACAGCAAGCTCTACTACAGTTCACCTTCAAAATCATTATGACAACACCGCACTACATTCAACAGCTGTATGCTGATAACACTGAAGGACTTCAGTTGCAGTAAGTTCATAAAACAAAGGAGTGAATCTCCCCTTCCCCCATAATAAAGCGTGTATTTATTTCTACACTGCAGCTAAGAAACTGCACAGGAACAGAACTCAACAACAATTTAGCAAGAAATCTGTTTCTCGGGAAAGCTCACAACTTCTTCAAAAACAAGACCATCAGTGGAAGCACACACACTGATTTTGTCAGACAGCAGCTCTCTCTTCAAATCATATTAGTTGCTTATTATAGTTAATGTAATTAATATTTGATAGGAGACATTCTAGTACACCTCCAGTGGCTCAGACTCCCCAGGTGGTTTCACAGGAAGACATACATGGAATGGAAGAGCATTAGCAGTAGGAGTTAGTAGAGCAACCAAGACACTGTAAACCTAAAAGAAGGTGAATGAATTGACCACACAAGAGAACGAGACTTTAAGCCCAATTCCAGTAGTGGTGAGACACTGGCACAGGCTGCCCAGAGCAGCTGTGGCTGCCCGCTCCCTGGAAGGGTTCAAGGCCAGGTTGGACGGGGCTGGGAGCACCCTGGTCTGGTGGAAGGTGTCCCTGCCCATGGCAGGGGGGTTGGAACTAGATGGTCTTTAAGGTCCCTCCCAACCCAAACTATTCTATGAGTCTGTGACCCCTCCAAAAGCACAGCCCTTTAATTTGTCTAAGAATAGGAGGAATGAGTTAATCATCCAGGCATGAACAGGGAGGGAGGAAAAGTGGCTTTACCAGTCTTCCTCAGACCCCCTTTGCTCCTGTTCCTCCCCCTCCTCTTCCTCCTCCTCTTCAGCAAGCTCTTGTTCTACTGCTTCCAGCTCAGCAGATGTCCTCTCCAGCAGAGCTGACACAGCATCCTGCTCACAAGGAAAGAAAAGATGAAACCAGATTTGAGTGATATGTAACATAGGTAAAAAAATGACAACTCTTGCAAGAGCTGCATTACCCTGCTGCTCCTTGATGCCAGCAAAAACATGCCTCAGATCACAAGTATAGGGGGTTTGAGTTGTCAGTGTGCAGCACATAGCTGATTGATTTTATACAGAGGAAATCTCAAACAAAAATACTGTTTGTAAACCGATAATGCAATCAAATATGCTTCTGTCATTCTTCGATGTCTCATCTCTCTCTGTCATACTTGTAATATCCCTGGGTAAAAAAAGGTTGTTCTTGAAAGTGACGTTTTTTTAATGTAGTTCTCTTAAGGAGGTATTAAAGCAGAAAAGCTTACTTAATCAGAAGAATTAGTATGTGTTTTGCATAAACAGCATTTTTAGTGCAATAGCTTTAAGTATGCAAATCAAAATAATAAATAGCAATTTTTAATATGCACATATAAAAATAAACGGTAAACTTATGGAAGCTCTTCAATAACATTCTTTTAAAAATGGAACACAGCTGAAGTGTGTTCCATTTTTAAAAGAATCGGCATGCAATTCTGTATCCCACTAAGAAGCATCAGCCCTATCCACACCGTCTGACAAACCTGAAACCCCATATAGGGCCTACTCACACACAGAGTCGCTACAGACAAAAGTGCCTGCAAGACAACAGGGCCTTGGACCTTCAGGGAGGACAATTCACATATTCAAATAACCACAATTGGAGTCTGTGGCTTTTTTTCTTGCTACTACAGTAAGAGCCAACACATTGCTCACCAAGTCCAGTGAGTCTAATGACTGCTTGCTTAACAGAAACGTGGATCCTTCATTTTGTTTGCCAGGAATCTGCTTGCGAGACAGCAAGTTGTACCACAGGGTACAAGGCTCATTGGAAAATGATAAATCTGCCAGACTGATCTGAGTCCCAGCCTGCACAAAATAAGAAAGGGGAAGAAAATTGTTTAAATTTGTTTTATTTTGTACAAAACAGTTGAAAATAATTTCTACAGTATTTATCATGTAAAATAGGCAGCACAAATTTGACATGAACCTTAATTCCCTTCTTAACTGTACAATTTTCCGTTTCCCTCCACTTCTAGTTAAGAATTTCTCCCCACATGCACACATACACAAAACCCTCTGTATCACTGTAATGCACACGTCTGCTTTTTACAGCATTCAATAATGAAAAACTGTGTCAATGAAACCTGCAGCATCAACTCATGGAGCAGCAACTTTCAGTCAATTTTTCAGTTGTTCCACCACAAAAATCATCAATATGGCAAACAATAACAGATGACCTTGTTTGCTCTAACCAGTGAAGAAACAGATGAAAAGACAGTAAAAAGATATTAAGAAACCCTTTCATTTGGACAAGCACCGATATCCACCGAGTTGGCACTCTTGGGAAATCTTACTTAGTACTCGTGTTTGGGCTGTGCCTTGGAGATTAACATCCTCTGTTCTTTGGCAAAGAAAATCATCTTCACAGCCGCTGGGCTGCATACAAAGCTCCTTGCCAAGGCTCTGGTCATATTGCCCAGGGCTTTCTGCTGGGGGTTGTACTCCCAGCTCTTTATTTTGATTTTGTGATTCACCATTATCTCTTTGCTGTTGTTTTGGGTTTGGGGTATTTTTTCGGTTGTTTTTTTTTCCTTCACCTTTGTATCCTGCATTCTGTTGCATTTTTGTTCTGCTGCCTTTCCCTCACCTGATGGGGAACCTCTTACATACTGAAAAAGGCCAACACGATTCCCCAGGAATGAAGTTAACTTCTACATTTTTGAAAGTGAGAGCCTGTTCCCAGTAGTCAGAGCTGATGAACCCCACCAGATTCCAGCATCTCTTCAGTGTGTTGTGACTAAAAATCTCACTGTGCTACTAAGTCAGACTTATGGTGAAAAACTAAACAGAGTGCTACCAGACCATGCAAAAGCAATCTGAAAGTAAATGAAGCATCACTAATTAAGTGATGACCACAATTAACAACAAAATTTTAAAAGTGCTGGTTTCCAACAGACTGGCCTATGAATGTCATGCCTTTTTATTGTTTCTACAGATCATGACGACTAAAAAGGTATCTACAACAGTGTAAAAATGTAATTTAGTCTTTGTAACAGGTTGTGATAATAAGGGCTTGCTTGGTTTTTTTTTTGTTGTTTTTTTTTGTTTGTTTGTTTGTTTGTTTGTGAGGGGTTTTTTTGTTGTGGTTGTGGTTTTTTTTTTTGTGGTTTCTGTTTTTTTGTTTTTTTGTTTTTTTTTTGGTTTGGTTTGGTTTATTTTTTTATATACTGTGGCTCTTATTCAGCTTTTACTTTAAAATCCAGTGTTAAGAGTAATGTTGCAATAAAGTTTATGGGTTTTTTTTATAATGTATAAAACTGCAAAGATGGAATCAATCTGTAATTAAAGGGTTAAGGTAGTGCAGTGTTAGAATTACCAAAACATGTCCTAAAACTTCCATCCAAGATTAGATTCTGCATCAGGAAATTCAGTGAAAGTTAATATTTTAAGTACTACAGCAACAACCAAGTTATGCTTCAGAGTTTGTCTCCAAGTATTGTGGAATTTTAGCAGCCTTGACCATCACAAAGGAGGGGACACTATAAACAAAAGCATGCCAAAAAAATGCCAGAAATAAAACTGCATACCAAGCATTCTTCCCGGCGACTTCTACTGACAGCACAAACATCTACTCTCAGCGTCTTCTGTAGCAGTGTTACTTGGGAAATGGCTACTCTGAATATCTCGTTGAACAAAATGGTTTCCATGGCACGATGAACTTTAGTGCGGAACAGACAGCTGATATCAGTTGAGGATGGGAGTACAGCTACTCTAATATACCTGCCAGAAACAAAACAAAATCTTTACCTATATTTGAACTAGCACTTGCTGGTGACGCGTGGGAGAAGTTGACCCCATCAACTGAAGGAGTGCATGGCAAGAAAATGAAACAGGAACGGATCAGAGGAGGGATGGGAAAGAGATGAAAAAGAGGAGTGAGAAACCCTCCCACCCTTGCAGAAACATTTCCCCAAAAGGAATTTCTGTGCCTGGTAAGGTAGTAGCAAGAGAGGTAGCTATTTCTGTCTCTGTCCAAATTTATCCTCTGGTTTAGTACTGTGAACACTGAAGATCATGTCACAGATGGGAGGAAACATGATCTTAATTAAAAAAATGAGAAAAATTTGGGTGGATGTAAAAATTAAACTCAGAATGATGTGAGCAGCACCGAAAAGCAGTGACATCTTTTACTCTTTCAAAGAAACAAACAAAACAAAACCTCCAAAGAAACCAGAAAACTGAGAAACAAGAATAGCTAGAGCCAGAGCTGCTTAAGATCAATTCATATTAAGTGAGACATAAAAGAATGCATCCTGCAAGCCTAAATTTAATCACAAGGAATAACTTGAAATTGTTACAGGGCTACATTTTTTTAATGTAACAAATATGAATGGATATTATGTGGATAAAAGTAAGACTAGCTAAACTTGCAGGTCTCGCTTTAGTAGTAGCTTGATAGAGTGAAGACATTCCTAATGTAATTTGTACATGTTATTTACCTATTGCACAGCTTCTCGCACACATAAATGAGCATACGAATTGTTTTACATCTTTTCTGTACCTATGGCATTAGTCTGTTTCTGGTATTGGCTTTAAATATAATTGACATTCACCGTAGAACAGAATGCAGTGAAGCTAGCAAAAGCAAGAAAAAAAAGTGGACCAAGGAAAATCATTCTGGAAAAAAACTTGTTCTCCCCGGATTTATAGTACTATTGCTATATTTTTTTTTGGTAATGACTTCGTACATACTATTGCTATTATAAAAAACTTAGTTTTGCATTAATTAACCCAAGAGAAATTAGGCTTGGGAGAAATTTTTGTTATTTGCATTTGGACATAGCCTTTATTCCCAAATTATCCCAAGCTTCTTGGGATAAAGAGCAAGAACTAAGTTGTTTGGTTCACGTGGATAGCCTGGATAGCAGCTATCCAGCATTTTGACAAACCAATCCCAAAGTTAAGTGGTAGTGTAATGTAATTCCAGTAACACTGCTGCTGTATTCACATAAATGTAGGTGAGCAATTTGCATGGTCTACTGAAAACAGCCATTTTAATAGATTAAGCAATTAGGAAGCATTTGAAAAAGGTGTAGGAATAGAAAACAAAGTATTTTAAAAGTATGTTTAAAAGGTGGTTCATTGGAGCTTTCTCTTAGTAGTTGTTAGCCAATTTATTGGCATCAGGCCAAAACGAGGGGTAAAAAGAGAAGAAATTGCTCACTGGCTTTGTTTTACAAGAGTGCTTACTTTCATTTTAATTAAAAAAGTTTAAAAGTCAACCAATGCCTCAGATTTTGCTGTCACAAACCTATGACTTCTCAACTGAGGAAAAAACGCTCCTGACACAAATAAGTATTCGGCCAGGCTCTACCTACTCTAAAAGTGAACAACTTTTACAAACAGTGTGGAAACAGGGATCAGTGATCAGTATCATCACCTCATGTCAAATCTATTCCTCTGTGTGTAAAGGCTCAGTAAAGTACTAATCTAAACAGTTTGATGTTCTAGAAAATACAGTTTCAACTTGGCTCATTTTTCAGACCCAATTTTTATCATTGTACATATCTGTACAGTATACACATATATGCACACAATGGCAAGTGACAGAAGAAAAATGCTATCTGCAAGGTCCTTCCTTTACCCTGTCCTTTCTTCCTCCATGTTTTGCGTAGCGTTAGTTTTATTAAATCTTTCTGGCAGCAGCAGATCTGGACTTCTGCACTGAAGACACTTGACTACTAATTACAACTTCATACTTTAATTCCTAAAAAGGTGCCAGCTGTGACCTAACCTTATCTTACTGAACATTTTGTTGACATTCTTATTATATTCTACATCACCTACTTTACCTCTCAACTGTGTCAATTTATTCTTCCATCTTTTTTTTTATATTCTTGTGCTAAATGCTAGTGGACTTGGAAGGTCAGCAGGGGAAAGATGGAGGTCAGAGAAGGAAGGATGATGGCAGACAACCATTTGTTATTAAAAACAAACAGAAAAATCCAACAAGCACCTAGGCCTGTATCCCTACACATCCCATCCAAATTTAGTGGCATCCTATTGATCTGACAATCAAATTCAAGGTGATGGGGGGACAGGTGGGAGAGAACCAGCAAGAAAACCAAATCTTCCAAGGATTGATTATCTTCTACTCTAATCTTAGTAAGCTTCTCAGCAGTTTAAAATAGCTTTCCAGTCTGCAAAAAAGCTCACTGAAATACAAGTGTCCCCAAGGAGCCAAGGCAAGCTGTACTTATTTGTACAGATGAGAGTTCTGGATTAGAATCTCAGTGGTAATATTTTCTTATTCAGGCATTTTTGTTCATTTCCTACACATGACTTCCACTGTAATTACTTTTAGACCTTTCCTGTTGGTCCAATTCAACACAAAAACTCAGTCTTAACAGATCTCCAAGCTCCAGTTGTCCGGGATGGTGTATCTTGATGTGGCTGTGCTTGTCCACTTGAAATTTATCAAACTAACCCTTACCTTTAAAATCTCACTTAAAAGACAAATACCATTTTAACATCATTTCACATCAAAATGCCACAGAAATGTAAAAATCTAACAACATTCTGAGCTGAAAGAATGGCAAAATGTCAAAAGAGTGGTTTTATTAACATATATAGAATAGCTGTTCTGCACTTGTAAAGCTACAGAATGTTTAAAAACACTAAATGAGGCATCCTTTAAAAAAATCCTTTTTGTTCCACTTTAGTGAAACACACAAACTTCCTGGTAACTTCTTTTTCTTGCAGCATTGCTGGAATACGTAAAAGCTAAGTACTACTACAGTTTGAAAAGTTTTGTACATATTTTAGTGCTGTTAAGCAGTAAATCAATCCATTCCTTTGGAGAACTTGTGCAGTTTATTATTATACTCTTCTATTTCAACACTACTGCTCAGGGATTGTTTGACTTACACTTTAGAGCCAAGGGGGACAGAAAATGCTGGAAGATTTCTGAGCCGTACTATGATTATCACAAAACTTGAACTGCTGTGGTCGTATCTGTTAAAGAAAGGACAACATGAGGGAAGTTTACTATTTGCATTTATGCATGAACAGAAATATTGCCTTTCCTCATCACTTACCTGAGTCCTACTTGTACCTGGGCAGCCTCTAGAGTTGTTGCATCATCTTCACTATATACAATGTCTTCAGTTTCATTTGGTCTAGGGCAAACAGGCAAATACTCAAATTAAGGAAAATTACAGCTAGCTTTCAATAATTAAGATACGCATACACAGAACGTATATGCATTCTCCTAAACAGCCTGAATTAATTACAGCATGTGCTCCAAATGAGAATTTCAGAGCCTACGCAATAGCAATGCCTGTTCTAGGCACAGTCACTGCCTGAGCAGTTTGACAACTCCAGTAATGAGTCAGAAAGGCTGATTACGGAAGCAGGCCAGGCTAACAGGCAAGAGAAAAACTCATTGCATTTTCCTATACATACTTAGTACTTCTTTATCCCCCTGAATACAAAATTGGAAATTAAAATGCGTAATAAACATCAGACCACACGTAAACGGGATGTGAAATACTGCTTTGGAGAATCTGAGAAGCAGGAGCTCTGTAAAATAAAAATGTTTCTGTGCAATCAAGAAGCATCTTTCCTCTGAGCCTGTTTGCAGAAGCATTCAACAAAAACAAAGGGACTCGAGTCTTGCAGCTGGAGAGCAACTCTGGCGTTGAACGGAATTACAGAGAATCCATGTGGCAAAATAATTTCTAGTCATTTTCTGGGAGGTTTGAGTGAGGATGTGGTATTAATGTGTTTCATAGATTTTTAAAACTAGGCTATTGGGATCAATAAACAAGATCAAGATAGGCAATGTGGAGAATGACACAGTCATCCCACAAGACATGACAGCATTATTTTAAGACTTTGCATTTAGAGGTTTCCTCTTTACTATTCCTTTCCTGGCTGATGGCTAATTTGATAGAGTGTATTTATTTCCTCCCCTGCCTTAAATTATTGAATACAAAGGACAGGTCTATACAGCAGAAATCACTGTACTGTAACTTCAGGAGCACACTGACAAACTCTAAGTCATTCATATACAGTGCTCATGAAGACACCTCTAAACACAAGCAACTCACACAGAGGCACTCGTTACCTCTTTGCTGCTTTCTACTCTGTAATAATTAAGAGTATTCACACCTGGAGCTTTCATGGAATAACTAGTGTGTGTAAGCCTTAGCTTGCACAAATGGCAGCAGTTTCCTTTTCTACACAGGCTTAGGGGATGTAACTGTTGTCTTTCCTCTTTTCCCGAGTAACGACAGGAAGACAACAGGAATTTGTTCTGTTTTTCACCTATCTCACCACTCGCAGTCACTGGAGAGGACAGCTAAAGATTTGCTCCACAGAACATCCACAGCTTTTGGTCCAACGTCTGTTCATTTTTATCCACCGGACTTGTAACTGGAGCAGACAGTAAGTTTTGATCACAACGGCTCGGAATTGGAACAAAACGGAAAGACAACAATGGTTATTGAACCAAAATAAAAAGTCACAGCCACTCAGTCAAGTGAAGGCTGACTTTTAATAGATGAGAGATTATTTAAGCCTAAATTGCATTAGGTCTAACTGAAGACATGGAGCAACCTAATACTAGCATTCAGAGTTCAGGGTGAAATACGGGTCCATGATCTAAGGCGAGATTGAGTAGGTATTGCAGCCCTTCAGGACAAATCCCTTTTGTATTTGAGATTTTTAATTTGGTTTAATCTACTTTTATTAACTTTTAATTTGTGAAAGACTTGACAAGTAGAAGTAATTTTATCAGAGGCAAATAAAACCCATTTATCATACCATAAGGTACCTTTACCTGTCCTAGTAGAAAAGCATTTAGCCTGGCAACAGAAGACATGCATCTACATTTTGTAACCATCCTACTAAAACGTCTCTCAATATTCAAAAGGACAAAAAATTCTTAATGTCACAACTTGCCAAAACTGAGGTGAAAAAAAGATTTTGGTTTCTCTCAACATTTGCAGTAGTGTTCTGTTATACAGTCTAAAGTTCGCTGTTCTCACTGCCAGAAAACAGACAATGCTATATGAACTGGTATGAAGGATCCTGTAGATGTCTTGTCAAAAGGCAACAGCAAATAAATTTCTTATATCCTGCTCGTCACAGTGAAGCATGAACATTAAACCCTTACCTGGATTAGTTTTATACAAACATCACAAGCAAAATGTTATACAATCTTATGATTGTAACTAAGGAAAACCAGCTGCAACAAGAGTCACTCAGAGTAGAGTCAATACAGCCACATGGCGGAACCTGTAGAGTTTAAATCTAGCTTTTCTCCTAGGAACACTTCTAGCAAAAAAAAAAAAAAAAACCAAACCCAAGATTAGAAAGTAGCGCATTACTGCTACTCAACCAGCACTCTAATGCAAATGTATTAGCTTAAAAAAAAAAAACCAAACAAAAAACAATCAAACTTCATTGTTTGGCAAATGTGCTTTCCTTTCAATAGGAAAGTGCAAAATGTTTATAAAAAAGGCAAGACCAATAAACTACTTATGCTGGTATTATATAACTGCTTATCGATATAGTTAAATTTTTGGTGGAAAGACTTGCATTATTTCTCAAACCTACTGTTTCACAGAAGCTTCATATACGCCACTGTCTCCAGCTACAGACTCATCGGACACGGCAGCAGATACACAAGCTGTTTTCTCCTCCAGCAGGTGACTAGCTGTTCTAGGTAAGTCAACACCTACAAAAAGAAGAATGAAAATTAGTCTGAGAGATTAATAGTCAGAAAGAGATAAGCACATATCTTAGAAAGTTGTCAAGTTGAAAGCGGTGACCCTTAACTGAGTATCAAAGAGTAGTTTTGTTCCACATCATTAAACATTCTGAGACTGCACTGCTGTTATCATATATTCTGGCTAGGGATATAACCAAACTGATGAACTTGAAAATGTACAACTATTACTCCTTCCCAGAGACACAGGCTCCTATCATCACCCGTATCTGTTGAGCTAGTTATTATGCTTCATTATCTTCATTATTAACCCTCATCGCCCTGATCTTTAAAGCCGTATTTGCTATGTTCACATTCTGTACCGTAGTAACACTTTGGCTACATGCAAAGTGCTTGCCTACTGTTTATTAAATATTCAGAAATCAGACACCCTCTCCCCAGCAATATAAGTGCTAGAAATGAAAAATCCCCTCTGGTTTACTATCACCAAAAACCTTTTATGCTACAGTCTCTTTACTATCAAGCATTATTCAGCTTTAATCTTCAAGTCGCGTTCCTATGCTAGTGTCATGCAGGGAGGCAGCAGCATTCACAGAAGGCCACGTTCTGCAGCGTCGTAAGTCGAGGGCCTGTGCAGTGCTCTTATCTGCCAAGGGGCGAGGATATTGGCATGCATTATCATCCCCACCTGAATCATGACTTTACATCTTGTTAAGATGTTTAAAATTTAAGGCTTCAGATTAGATGATTGATTGCTGCATTTGTGCTTTTATTTACGGCAGTAGGAATGCTTTTTCCTTGATGATGAAGTGCTCTTTCCCTTCCCCCCCACCATGTGAGGGGTGAAGGTGATGACATGATTTATTGATTACCCTTAGGAATTACCACAGCAGCCTGAATTGACTTTGACAATGACAGAGACTGACTGTGGAAGAACTACATGATATTCCAACTTGGTTTCTGACAGCAGGGACATGTGCAGGGGAGCAAATATCAGTATGGTTCACCTGTACAGAGAAGTCAGAGAGACAGAGAAGCAGGTGAGCGCTGCATCTGAAGAGCCAACACAGATCATTACATGAACATACTACCTAGACTGTCTTCAGGTATGTCTGTCTACCTCCAAGTGAAGATTCAGCAATATTCAGATTTGTAGTCTTGTAAAAACTTAAGGGTAGGGGCCGAAATTTTCCATGCAGGTCTCTGGCTGAGTGTCTTGAAAACCTTCCCATTCAGCATCGCAGCAGTTCCAAGAATGAAACTGGAATAGAAATACTGAACCAACCCCAGATCTGGGTCTCCCTGCTCATGTACTGAAGCCTCACCATGAGGCCCTTTTACTGTGGAAACTAGCGGTATTGAGGCATAATTAATTAGTACCTGGCTTTTCAAAATTTGAGTGCTTGTTTTGGCAGTCTTAATACAGATTTAAAGATAATTTGTTTTGTATTTATGACCCAACATGAGGCAGTATCGGTATGAAGAATCACAGGATGTATTTATATTTTAAAGCAGTAACTACTGATAGACTGAAAAGACACCTCGACACTATCCAGAATAACAGGTCCTCAGAAAAGCTCAGAAACGTTTGACAACCACATGATGCCTCTGAAAATAATGACCTAAAGAAATAAATTAAAAAAAAATAATTCTGATTCCTCATAGCCCTATGTGTTCCCAAATGCCAAACCGTCTTAAATTCAATTCTCATACTAGATGACTTGCAGCCAGACAGACCAAAAGTTGTTGTTAATTTGGAAAGGATAAGCTGCTGAAATATGGGCAGGAAAATGAATTATTTTTTCCATCTTTTATAATAAGGCTCTAAAGCAAAATAACTACTGTGTTCCGCTATACTGAAAAGACAAAGGGCAAAATTACCCCCTTCCTCCCCAATACCCTTCCACGTTTTTGCACTTTGCATTTCACAGGTTCAGACCATTAGAACACCATGCAATTTCTTTTTTTCTTTCTGCACAGTTGAACAGAGGAGGGACTCCCAGCTTGTACTATGTATATCATACATTTCTCTTCTGGTGCCACATTGCTCTGGTCAATATTGAAATTACAAGAGTACTGCAATAAGCTAATAACCAACAGATGTTACAATTCGGAGAGAGAGAAAAAAAGAAAAGCAACCTTCTCATTAAAATATAAGTCTGTATCAGTATGTCCAGGAACTGTTATTAAAAACTGGCAAACTCCAGGCACAAGGGTTCAAACTTGGCAGCAAATCTGGACAATGCACTCTTTAGAGCTAAGCTGTATGTATTCCAAGACACCCAAGCTCCTTAGTTTGCTGCTTCACCATCCACCCAGGCCAGGCCCAGACAGGCGGAGCTGGGAACACTAGGTGCTGTCAGGTTTCAAACAGGGCTGCCAGTGCTCAGTGTGAGTGGAAATCTGGCTCCCTCAGTTCTTCCTTGGGAAAACAAGAGCCACTAACACACACATGAATCATTTGCAACATACTTAAAGACAATGACACAGAATGACACTAGAAAAAGTCAATAGATGTGCAAAGAAGGCAGGACATACTGTCAACCCTAACAAAAGGCAGCAAAGTCACTGTGCTCAGGCTGAGGACAAGCCATCAGTTCTAGACAGCTGGGATTTTTAAAGCTCTGACTCTGCCAAAGGCTTCGACAATACAAGATGACTAAGTATGTTGCATGGCTTCTCCTGCAGCCTAGAAGCAGAATTCATTACATGTAATTCAGCCATCTCAAAGTTAAAGTTAATTAGTTACTAAGGATACCTTGATAACTCCCAGGGTTATTCATCCCATTTTCCTTAAAGAGAAGTATGTTTTAGGATGAGATGGCTCAACCTTTTGGAAGTTACCCACAGACTGCAGGAAGAGCCTAGACTAGCTTAGGAGCTCTGTTTTAACTCTGATAAAAAGCTAAGCTATGAAATCGATGTTAAAAATGGGGAGAGTCTCGCCATAATGTACATGGTATGTGCTCGCTTGTCTTCTTCAACTCGCATAAAAAGATGAACTGCAGATCTTTCAGTGACAACAGGTTCAAATAACTAGATAAACACAGACACATAAAAATTCTCTTAAGTCCAGAAATCACTTTTACTGAGGATGTCAGTTTATAACTTACTCCAAAAAACCAGCAGAGGGTATTTTTGCCCTATTCTCCTGCATCCTGACAACACCTAGGAACACCATGCATCCTCTGTGTCTTCAAGATCCCGCTTCAAGTTTTTCTGTTATTTTTCCACAACAGAATCTGCCATACCTGAATTTTCCTTCCGACACAGCTACTGAAAGATGTAGATGGAATCAGGGCGATCGTAGCTCTTTGCAGCCAAAACTAGAAGTTATGTAATGTCCCTCAGAATTACTGACTGCCCACCGTGACAAATGTATGCTGATCATGATACTCTTCAGGTACATGAGGTACCTCCCCATTCAAGAGAAAGCTGTTAGTTCAAAATTTTCATGTTACATATACATTTGACATTAGATTTTTTTAATTACCTGAACCTCCTTCATGTAGAGAAGGCAGAGGCTGCCTAATGCCTTCATTAACATCTTTATCATCTGTAGGAACCTGAGATCCTGCTCTGGCTTCAGAGTCCAATAATATTTGGTTCTCACAGAGACTAACGCCTGCAAAATCACCCGAAAGGTCACAGTCTTCAAAGTCCGTAGTGAGGTGATGCAGGGGGGAATTTTGAGCCGACACTGAAAACGCAGCTTCCAAAACCAAAGGGGAGCCTGGGGGGGACAAGGAGGACAGTGAGGATCTGGAAGACAGCGATGTCACAGATTTGGGAGGTTCAGTCAATTTGGGATGCTCTGCAGCTGAAGGAGAGTCACTGTAACCCAGTCTCCCATGGGAACTGACCACTTCATTTTCATGAATAGTAGTGATAGGCCCCGAAGGAATGTAACCACTTTTTTCTTGCAATATGAAGTCAAGTTTATACTGATAGTCCAAATCTGTTATTTGATCGCCTTGGTTATAGTAGAGATCCGTGGAGCTGAGCGAGTTTAGCGACCCTCTGCTTGACGTGTTCAGAGATCCCCGGCTGGATGCCAGAGATCCCAAACTGCTCCCTGAAGACACAGATAACCTACTAGCCGAGAGGCTGCAAAGAAAGCACAAACACGTACGCTGACGTTACTAAACTAAACCAGCACAAAATGGTACAAGGAGAGATAAGATTGACTGGGGCTGCACTGTAAAGATTTGCAACTGAATGCTGCTTGGGGCATTATGTTTTTTAAGCACCCATACTTGGCTTAGATCAGCGTGCCCAGTCTGCACACAATCAGGGCAATTTATCCAGCTTACGGCCTGCTGCCAAAGCCCCTTTTCTCCTGGGGAAGGCTGCAGATTTGACAAACTGGTCCAGCAGTAACAGCAGCCTTCTCAGCTGCTATATAGCCTCAAAGACATGCTCCACTCTGATGTCAGCACTCCTGGGGTCAATGTGACAGGAAGGGGGTCCCCAGGAAGGAGGTTATGGCAGCAGAGGAGTGCTGCCATCTCCAGAGCAATTTATGCAGCCTGCCCTCCACCCCAGCAGCTGGGAAAGATGGCAGCTAGGAGGAGGCAACTTACAGCAGAACTGCTTCACACCTGTAAGACAACACACACCCTACATGCACAGTAAATCCAATTACATAAGCATGGCAAAGGCCACAACATGCAATCTCCTCCTGTTAATAATAGAAAATAAGGAGCCCTGCCAGGCCAGAGAATCTGCGTGTTACTGCTTTGGCTCAGGAGGATTCTGCTGGGAAAAAACATCAGGAAAAATAATTCAAGGTGGCCCCTTCTAAACACTTAAAAGATGTTTACTGGACAGTAACAGAGCTATCAGCTTTAAAAATGTTGCCACTGGACTAGAAAACTGCTTTTAACAGGACAAAGACTCCCAAAAGTCCAAACAAACATGAACACAAAATACTTTAAAAAATTATTTGACAGACTCTTTCCTTAACTAATCATCAACCAAGATGCAGTTTATGGGATCTGGCTGAGATGTTTGAAATAGCTACACCAGCTATTTCAACCATCCGAGGAATAGGATGGTATGACTTATTGTGAAAGGACCTTTATAGAATGCTTAAAAACATTTTTCTTTTTAAAGCCCCATTTTGATTTCTAAGATATCAGGTAAACATTAATGCAGTTTCTAATTGGTGTAGCCCACCGGGATATGCAAGAAAATTCAGGATTTTCTGAATAAATATAAAGGACAAATAGTTTGGTAGCCCAGGGTAACAGTCCAGAAGTGCAACTCCCCCCTAGGACACGTATCATTAAATATTAGAATTTCCATCTCAGCAATGAGTTTGAGTTCACAGTTGCTGTAACTGAATCCTTTTTGTTATCGCTAAGAATTCTAAAGACCCAGAGTCAGATTTTGAACCAATGACTGTCAAGAAAAAAAAATATCCTGCTGAGGATACATTTCTGTTTATGGAAAGAGTAAGTCAGTGTTGAAGAATAAAGCCAGAATCAACTATTCATGTAAGTATTTACATGCATACATGTACTCATGAAGCCCCTCCAGTTATTACATAAAGGCTACAGTTTTAATAACTCATTTTAGACAGAACTCTGAGAAAACATTTGGTCTCCTCAATGACAGGATTTTGAGGATACGATCAACTACAGAACTCCTGATTTACTTATTTACACCGAAGCAAAATAATGTCTGCCTGCTAAAATATGGACACTGTGCAAAAAATCCATTTAAGCCAGTCTTGAGTGCTTACTGAAATTAGAGATACACCATGTTTGTATAGTGGCAAAATGCTTGAAGCTATTACACTTGCATTTTCCTACTTATATAGTAAACAAATTTTGCTCAGCTTCCAGCTAAGAGAAAAACCTAAGAATGAAGTTGAGACATCCAGGCCCACTAGGTTGTTGCTGAAAACAGGTTTTTACATCATGCAGTAAGTATAGTCTCACCTCCTAAGTTGTGAATGCAAGTAAGTAGTTAACTTCGTAGTTTCTTCAAGTTTCTGCACCAACTCTTTTCTTCTCTCCTCCAATTTCAATCTAGAAAGAGGTGTACATGTAAGTATAGGAAAGCATTATAAAATAATCTGGAAGCTAAAATCCTTTATAGATAACACAGAAACAAAGTGAAGATCCCTCATATTTTCATCTGGTTGCCAACTACTAAAATCCAAGAGACTCTTAGCGCTCAACCCTATCATAAAACCCTAACCACTTCAGCAGGGTGACTCTACTTGCAGAATACTAAGCGCTGCAACAAACCTGCTGAGTGTACAAGCAAGCAGAGTGTTGGTACGTTCACAAGTGTACTAAGGGGAACGTGCACCAAATAAAAAAGTAACAGATGAGCACTGGGAAAATAGCAGTAACTTTGGGAAAATAAGATCTGCACTAATACAGTTTTAAAAAGCCCTGCTGTAGATTGGCTCCTCACTTAATATAGTTTCAGAAAAAAAACAAACCAAAACAAAAGAACTCTAATACCAGTATTAGTTCTGATAACGCAATAACTTGGGATAGCACTGCAGGAAATTTAAAATAAAAGCACTCCCTTTGATTTCAGAGTCTTCATGTAGAGACAAAGCACTGTAAATCAAAGCAGCATTCAAGCCCAAGGTTCTGAGATGATGGACCATACGCAGGAGTCCTTGGTAAAGATTTCTACATCCCCAACTGCTTTGCCATCACCTCAGAGCCACACAGCATTGTAATGCTCATTATCAAGGTTTGTCTTTACGAAAAAGTGGGATTTATTGCCTTTTGTTTAGAGTGTGGCTCTAAAACCACAAACGGTAGAACTCTCCTATTCTTTTTGGCTTGCTGCTAGCAGAAAGGATTCACTAACCTTTACAGTGATTTTTTTCCTTTTATAATTCCCTTTTATCACTCCATTTACAACACCAAATAAATTGCTTTCCCTCAGCTAAACCCCTCCTGTAGTTGTGGATTAGTATATTCTCCTCTAGCCCTTGCTCAGTCAACTGATACATGTCACAAGTTCTCAAGCAACTAATCTGAGAGCCATGAAATTACCTCCTTCCCTAAAAAAAAAAATAAATATAATAATAATAAAAAAATAAAGTTGATGTTCTTGATCCTTAGAAATCATTCTTTTGGCCTTTCTGGCATCTCAAGGGTGTATAAATTAAAATTCAAATGCAGAGGAGAACATTTCAAAGAACAAAAACCAAAAATGAACCATTGCTTTCTTATGCAAACTGAATGAAATACTTGAGAGTTCCCAGAATTCACTCTCTTTCAGTGTCAGATACCCCTAAAAAGACATTAAGTCCTCAATTCAGCTAGGCATGAAAAGCACTTGCTTACACCCATGCTTATTCAGTGAGCAAATCTGGGTTATGCAAAGGTGAATAAGTTACCCTGAGGTCAGCCAGGGTGTGAACTTCCACTCCACTGCCTACGCTGCGTGTGCTCTTACACTGCAATAATGTGTTCATCTGCCAATACCTGCTAAGGCTGTTAAAAGCATACATGGGATTTCATTATTTGCTCAGGAAGACGTACACACACGGGTTTCAAACCAAGAATTATGCTCTTCTATGGCATCAGACACTCTTTCCTACCGCTTTGCTATTTAGCAATGCCTTTTGTCTTTTTTTAAAGCCTGATCTATCCTGCTTTGCCCAAGCTAGAGAGTCCTCTTCACTAGCTCTTCTGTGGCTTTTCAATAGTCAACTACCATTTTATCTTCCAGGAAGACACAAAAATTGCTGTACGTGTTCAGCTACTGATGGCAAAAGACAAGAAAGAAAATTAAAAGCTTAGAAACTTCTCTGTCTGGAGTCCTCAAAACAGACACCTATAGTTGTTCCACTGAATTTGTACTATTAAACTAAAAGGTTTATTTTTTTTCTCTAAAGCACAAGCAAAAGTTTGCTTTCCTTTGGCATCTTAAAGAGGTTCATAAAATCTAATTTATCCCATACAATTTAGTGCCTGAAAAAAAATTATTTCCTAGATGTAATTTCATCTACTAGTAATTAAAGTAGTATTAATACTGGTAGGTAAATTTCAGAAAGATGTTAGTCACAAGTCACAAACACAAGCTCAATGATGAAATCACTCCTAGGAGTTTCAAGACATGCAGGAAATAATTTTACTATAAAACAAAACCAAAAAAAACCAAACAAAAAAAAAGCATACCCCCCAAACTTTCAAACAATGAGCCTTCCTTCTTTATAGCATAAGCAGGAACTTTAATATCCCCAAAACCATGTAAACACCTAAACAACTATTGTGTTACCTCTTCTGACATGGGCTTCTCAGTCTCTCCTGTTTGAACATCTCCTAACTAAATTAACCCATTACTCATAGCAGGAGTGACTTGAGTGTTAGTGAGACATCCTTCACCAGTTTTGATCTTAAACTGTAACACTGATGAGAAGGGCATAGGATCTTAAAAAAATACATTAAAAAGTTAAAGTGCACATAACCTCATCTTTCAACACAAACTTATATGGACACATTTATGACAGGCACAAGAGCAGGGGCCGGTTTTGCAGGCAACAGCACAATCAAATAGTTAAAATATGCACCCGTTTAAATGCTTGTGATTACTTAGAAGATTTTGCCAAGGTATAAAGCAGTACTGGAATCTCCCCGACATGAATGCAGAGACAAACAACAAGAGAAAGTAGTAAATAGTTCTCAGTGGTTCCATAATCCAGTTATTTCTATATAGTTGCTGGAAGGCTTCTTAAAGCAGTCAGAGTATGCCCTGTCTGCTTTTTTGAAGCTGATATGTTATGATTTATACTCTCCTCCTGTAAATTGATTCTGAGTACATCTACTAGTGGCAATTTCAGCATCCTACTCTAAAATAACCCAGGGCTATGCTATAATGTTTTTGTTTTAAGTCAGAGCAAGTCTTCCCTTTCTTCCCCCTTCAGAAAAAAACAAAAACAACCAAACCCAAACCAAAGACCCTCCTCACACAAAGTTCTGATACAATCCATAGCTTCTTATACTGTCACTTCATTAACAGCACCTGTGAAAACACTGGAAACCTAAGACATTCATGAAGCTTCATGAAATAAAACAGTAATGGAACAACAATGCAGCACTTTGAAGATGGTGTGGCTCCTCCACTGATAATGGAGAGAAGAATCTTCCTCACTTCCAAGAAAGAAAGTGCTGGTCGTTGATCTGATATATTTAATTGTATCATTTTCTCAAATTAACATTTCAGGAAAGGTTTCACCATCTGAATCCTTCTACGAAATGGAGATTTTCTTTATGTTTATAGCAGACACCCCAGAAATAATACTCAAAATAGCCCCGTGTGAAAGAATTTATGTCCTCTGAAGTCATCAAGGGAGACAGTTTTAATATCATAAACAGCAGGTAGAAATTCACTGGAGATTCACTGGAATAGCAAAAAAGGCAAACCAGAAGCCACCATAAATGCTACCTCAAGCAGCAATGTATGACATGAAATCTTACAGTAACCCCAGAAAAAAATTGCACATTTTCAGGGAGGGAAACAATTTAAGCTCTAACTAGTTGTGTCACTAAACGGAAAAAATCTGCAGTTTCATTTCTTCTTGACAGCGGGAGACAATTTTACTTGCTCTTGGTACTCTAGGTTTGGCATCTGACATGTATGGGAAAAGTCAGGTGCAGAGTTTCCTTTGGCACTAAACAAGCAAATCCAAAACACGGGACTAAAACTTGCTACCTACTTACAAGACGTGAGTGAAGATTTAGCTATTACTTACATCAGAATATTATCAAAGTCTTACATTCGTATTATTTATTTGTGAATGTGATTTTATTATTGACTCCTTATTCTCCATTTATTAATGGAAGTCAGAAAGCAACAGATCCATGGTACTTTAGATACTACTAACACAGAAAAGTAACTTCTCCCGTAAAAATATAGCTCCAGAAGGACATAAGCCTTCTTCTAAAACACGTTTGATTATCAGTGCAGTTTAAACTATTATAAAGTGTCCAAATATGTTTAAAAATCATGCCTAATAGACACAAATGTACTTTGTGAACAAAAAATTTCCTCACTACTTAGCTGCAATTTAGGATCCAGCTTCTAATGCCACTAACAGGAATTTTGCTGCTCAGTGAAACTGAGGAAACAGCAGGTTGATTCTGAGTACATCTACGAGTGGCAATTTCAGCATCCTACTCTAAAATAACCCAGGGCTATGCTATAATGTTTTTGTTTTAAGTCAGAGCAAGTCTTCCCTTTCTTCCCCCTTCAGAAAAGCAGAGGGAAGTAGGAAAGTCTTACAGTACTGATTGTATTACTCCAATAAGACATACCACACCGATACACACAATGACATTTTGTCTTTATTGCATTTTATGTGTGCTAGAGGTGCCCATAAATTTATTCCCACTTACAGTTGATGAAAAGTCCATTTGTGACAGTCATCTTTGATTTTCTCAAACTCTGAATCTGGCTAAAACAATTTATTGTGGGGGTTGCTTCAGTTATCAGTTAGGTAGCCGCAAGTTTGGAAAGTTTTGCAGCAATTATACTTCTCTGAACTCCCACCCCACTTTTGGTTGCATTTTTGTATGTAATGAAACTCAAAATGAAAGGCTTGAGATGTTGCAACAATCAAGATAATCTTTGTAACCTGAGCTCAAATAGTTTACAGCTACTATCAGAAATGAGTGAATGATGTATTGACCTCCTGCTGGTATGTTGACATTCCTCAGTTATTTAACATCTGTCACAGACATTTTCATGCTGGTAACAAACACAGAGAAACTGATATTGCAGAGCACATACAGGGTGTCCACATTCTCTTGCTGTACAGAAGACTTCTTTGTGTTTCTGCCCAGTGGGCTAATAACAAATTTAATTAAGTTCTACATAGAACAGTTACTGAAGGAAAACAGCCCATCAAGGCATAGTTCAGGGTCTGTAATGAGTACAAAGGTTAGATTGCAGAAAGCAGCTTTTAATATTAGCAAAAGACAACCCCTTACCTTTCAGCAAGTGCTTGACTGGGTGCGCTTTTCACAGACAGCAGCTCTTCTTCAAGCCTCTTCCTTTCTGCTTCTAGCTGCTCTAGCTCATCTTGAGTACGTTTGCATGGTGTAATAAACTGGAGTTCCTTTAAAAGCTCTTCTTTTTCATTGATTAACATCAGTTTTTCCTTTTCCACATCAAGTGCCCCAGGCCAGGCTTCACTATCTAGCTTAGAGAGTTCAATCTTCAAGTTAGCCATGCTAAAATAAAACACAGCAAATTTGTCTGAGCCCAGCACAGCACACAAATCCCAGAAAAGAGAGAAGTGATATAATATTTTGAAAGGTATCAGAATATGACAGTATTTTCTACTCAAAGCCATGCCTGTAATTAGTTTTGCTTCACAAGAATGCAGACTTTGCCAGAAAAGCAAGCCACCTATCCAGGCCAACAGCAATACGCATATGCTTTAAAAATGAGTTGCTCCTGTTTCAATGCCAAGCTGAAGTCACAAGGTTCATAAAAGCTTTATTGAAAGCAATCTGCCTGGTAACATAGTACTGGCACTATGCTCTACTCATTGAGGAATATGATGGATTTCTCCTAAGCTGTTGGAGGCTGACTGCTCCTTAAGAACAGCAATGACCACAGTGAAAGAACATGCACCATAGCAAGGTGCTCAACTTCAGCAGCAGCTTGTATGCAAATCTTAAAAGGCAAAAGCGTTCCTCTTGGTGATTAAAAGGTAACAGAACAGTGGCTACCTAAAGAGAAAGGGAATTCTTAACTAAAAAAGATTGAGTTTGTGCAACTGCTGTTCCCGCTGCAGATGTCAAATCACAGAGTTAAGACAGCCAAGACGGTTCTCCATACATGTTGCACAGATGCACGCATATAATGGAAGCAGAACCTTCCCTACATTATTATTGTACTATAACTCAGTCCTGATCAAGACAGGCTATTTCCAGTGCTCAGTCTCCACAATCATTCTGCATATGGCCTCAACAGCATAGCTTAAGACGTACATGTCTTTCAATAAAAACTCATTGTCCACTGGAAATGCCTAAAAATTCCCATTATAGGTGCCACATATCTAATATGATGAACTTTCAGTCACTTCCAGCCTTAGCCACACCTGAATCAGCTGTATAGCTAAAGCTATGGAAGCTCTGAACTATGTAACAGCTCCTAGCCTTCTGCACCTCTTCCTGGTAAACTGGGAAAAAGGCAGAGAAAGGAGAAGGCAAACCAGAAAGATGTTCCCATACCATCTAAGGCAAGAGGAACTGATCTGTTACTTTTATTTATTTGTAACTGCCATAGTTAAATAGACCTAAGTCAGCTCAACAACTGATATAAGTCTGTGCAACTTCAATGTTACCAGGCACTACCTAAGGTAATGACCCATGCCATGCTTCATAAATACACACAGATCATTTTGTATGTATAATCTTTCTGTAGTTCTGACAGATTTCTGGGAAAATATTGTTCTTCTTTCTAGTTTGTGATTAACAAAACTAAAAATATCATGCTTATTTTGCATCTGCAGTATTAATTTTACAGTACATCAAGGCTTTTATTTATGGTCAAAGCTAAGAATAGTTAATGTTGAATCTATCTATCCCATTGCTTATAGTAGAAGCTTAAGAGGAACCACTCCCCTTCCTTTTTCCATTGGTAACATTTCCTTCTCATCTGCACCTCAATGAAAAACCAGCAGCTTCAAAAATGAAAACAACCCATACTCCCCCCTAAACCCATGCAAGAATAAGTTTGACTCACTGTATTTTCATGGAAAAACAATGTATAATAAACAGAAATACTATCAGCAATGCTATCATAACCTAACAGTGAGATGAGATGAAATGCAACGAACCATTTCAACATATTTTGCAGCTGTTACATATATCATTTATATCCAACAGTCCTTTAGAGAAGCAGCACTCAGAGGGAAAACAACCAAATAATTTCAGATGGATAATGAAATGTTAAGACTTTCATCTCCAGGTCACTGGTTCTAGATAACCATGTTCTGAAAGTAGCTGGTACTGACAGCTGGTTGATGGCGTATGGGATGGAATGGTGGTCTCCAAACAGTTCTTCTGCTCTCTCTGCTAGAGACTACACTCTGCTGCCACAACTGACACTCTTTTGAGCTGCCTCATCAGACAGGCAAAGGACTAGATGGATATGAAAACTGAACTAGTCCCACTCTTCTGAGGAAGCCCTTGCTCAACAGATCAACAAGGAATATTAGCCAGATCTTCACCACATCAGATAGGATTGTCAGCACGCTATATCAGATCCTTTTGAATAACCACTGAAACTGAATTTAGCATAGTTAACAACATTCCAGCTCTTCAAGACATTCTGCTGGCTAAGCAACATAAAATATGCAACATACAAAATTATCTGATAATTTTCAGGTACAGAAGTTCACTTAAGTGGAAAAGTTTTTTTCTCTTAGTTATTTTAACACAAAACAACTAAGCAGTTGCACATTTAATATTTCAGAAAAGATGTTCAACACTTACTGAATTATAGTGATGATTACAGTGGCCATAATAATTGTGGGGGTGGGGGAGATTTAATTAGGTACTGAACTTTATGTGCAAACTGGTATGTATCTTCATTATTCCAAGATATGTACGCTTTATTAAGTTCACCCTGTAGTCACTGATAAATCCGGTATGTGCAAACACTTTAGTTAGTTTAACGGTGTCTTCAAGGCATATGATCGTTTTATTTAAAGCTGAAAAGAATATTCACTACTGGGCAGTTTTCAGACAAAATTGAATAAAGATACCATTTAAAAAGAGATCATTTATCCCTGAAACACACTAATGTTATATAGAACAAGTACCTAGTTATACAAAGGCAAGTACATGAGCTATTGAAATTTTGACCCAAATTCTTGGCTGACTAATTTGTGAGAAAGTAAGATCTTGTGCTGCACTGCTCCATACTCTGAACACTGTACTGAGGTTTTGGGGTTCTGGAGGGGGATTTTGGGGGGAGGGGTTAGGAGTGGGGTGTGACTGTGCAGGTTTTTTTTTCCCAAGGTAAAGTGGTAAACTGACTTACTGCCAGGAGGTTTTTTGTTCCTGCAAAGGAGAGATAAAACAGTGCTAGGATTTCTTGATATCAAGACATAGTCAGAACAGAGGATGATCTGGTTTTGGATCAATTACACCTGAGAAAAACTGCCATCTATCTGCACTGAAAACACCATCTGACAATTAATATTATGTACATGATGAATCTGAGCCAAAATCATACAAGTTCAATACCGAACAAACAAAATAGCCTTAGCACTCTTTGATGAATGCATTGATTATATAATAAAGTTTTATGATCCGTAATGAGGATATAAAGGATCACTGTTGTTACCGGCAAGGATGGTAGCTACTACTGTGTGAGCAGGGTATATATCTGAAATTAGGCCAAAAGAAATGTTGGTTGTGCAGCCTCCTGCCTTTAAAATGTGAAAACTAACTATGCTTCTACTTGGTACTTATAAGCTGCAAATTTCTTTTTCTAGTTTTCTAATTGATCATGCCACAGTATTTCAACTGAAATAATACTTAAATCTCAGATTAAATGGCATTTTAGGCACAGCTTTCGTCTGTGCTATTTTTTATTTTATTGCCTTGTTTAGTTCTTTATAGTAAAAAAGGAACTTTGGGTGTGGGATAACTTTTTAGATTTCTATTCCCCTTAAACTACAAAGCACCTCCATAACAAAAACTGTAAGTTTTCTGAATAGCTGACACCTCATTTTGTACAATGTATTAGAAAATAATACAACTCAACTAATACATTATTAATAGAGAGATATCACACACACCTTTTTTTTTTTTTTTTTAATAATAAATCTTCCTCTCATATTATGCAGCACTTCTGGTGTACCAGAAGACAAGTCATTCTAACCCTGAACGTTCTGCTTTCTGATGCCCATTCTTCAATGCTGTGGCAATTCATCAAAATGGCACTGCTTTCATGAGCAACCACTGCAGAACTTTATTTGAAAGGCATTCCACATTCATCAGTGGAGCAGTTCCTGATTTCTTTTCTCCTCAGGTTAAACTCATTAAAAAAAAAAAACCCCAACACCACAGTGATAACAAGTATTTAAATCATCCAAAGTCCCAGTAAAAAAATAAATAATTAAGGTTACTAAATTTGCACTGGAAGTCTGAAGCAACTCTAAAACTGAAGTGCCTTCAACGGCATAGTAAACTGAAATGATGATCCCAAAGAAGGCTATAAATGGACATAAATCACCTGGCGACCCCTTTCAGTGGAAAGCCAACTCACTCTATTCCTTTAATCCTGGAACTGCCATTAATTTCTCACTGTCTGCATTTTCTTTCTTAACGCATTCAATTTAGCATTAAATCTAAAACCTGCTGTTCAAAAGCACCGACCGCTCCTCAAAGCCTGCTTGCACTCTGAAGGAAAAGGAGCACTTTGCAGAAGTGCCCCCAGCGCCTCCAGAGAGCTGCCCACTAGATGTCACTGCCAGCACAATGTTGGTGCTGCAGACATCAGACACCTTCCCAACTCAAGACTGTAATTTAACAAAGCAACTAACCCTATTACCTTCTTTTTGCCTCTTCATATTGAAGACTTAGTCTGACCTTCTCTGCTAAATTGGATCTACTTCTTGCTCCAACCTGTTGGGGGGAAAAAAAAATTAAAAACAATAGCCTTATTAATGTCCAAAGCTGTTAAATGAACAAAACCTACACATACGCTAGAAAAATTACAACTTAAAAAATACCTACATCCACCTGCAGCCACACACTTGCTGTTAAATGCCTAGTTAGGATTCTACTCACATGTACAAAACAGTGCTGTTTTCTTCTGATCCAATTCATCTGTTTTAACTACTGCAGTACCAACTGTCCATATTCCATCAGATTAAAGAGCATTTTCAAAGAAGTCTTGCAGCGATTGCACCCAAAATTTTGATCTCCAACTTTTAACTCTACTGAACTCAGAATTTAGAACTACGTCAGTGCATTTCAAAGTAAGACTTCAACAAATAATCTACAAAACATAGACAAGGTTGGCTCTTTCTTTGGAAAACCTTGTACAGTCTATTCCTTATAAACTTATCTCGCAGAACTTCAGAGAAGGTACCAAAATTAAGCAGTTTTCTGTATGTGTAAAATATACCATCAGTGAAACAGAGAAGGTTTTAATGAATTACTGAGCAAGTAGTTCCACTAGCAGTTTTTCAGCTACATGAAATGAAATTGCAGATTGATATTCTGAGATCTTGTTTCTGAAAATTAAAAACATCTTCGTACTGAATTAAGTCCGCAAGGTGAAACATATCCTATAGACAGATCCAGAAAACAGTATCTACTTTTGCTGTTCTTCACTATACTGGAACTATTTGATTATATCAGACTGTCATAAACGCTCCATGCCAAACGTATAAAGTTCATCTGAATCTTGATTTAAAATTTAAGGGGAAGAAAACCACATAACTGCTTCTAAGCAATTCTCTCAAACATGTATATGTATACACCTATTAGCAACATTAAACAACCATTTGATTCCAGTTCCATTAACCACAGCATTTTCTCTTTACATTTTACAAAATCAAAAAAAGCTCACCTCACCAGAAATGTCAGTTTGAGACCCTGTATCTAGAGTTTGTCGAGAAAAACACAGCTGGGAGTTTACAGAGCTGGAATTCAAGTCTGGTTCAGATGTCCCAATGGTCTGGTCAAGACTGAATTTCTCTCTCAACTTTGCAAGAGACTGTCCGGGAAACAGAGGAAGAGATGGTGTTAAAGTTCCTTTGCACTTTACCATGTTTATACCAGTTTATCTTGAAAAGATGCTGACATAAAAGACTCCAACATAAAAATTCTGGGTTTACTTAATGTTAAGAAAACTACCCCTTTAATCAAGTAGCTGGTAGGGGACCAACACCTGTGACAACATAAAAATTATTAGTGTTTTTTTGTGTCTCTTGTTTTTGTGGTTTTGTTTTTTGTTGGTTTTCTTTCAATTTGTCAACCAATTAAATATTTGCCTGATTAAAAAAAAACCATCTACTTTCAGAAATGGAAATAGGGCAATTCAGATTTAGAAAACTTTCACCAATTTAGAAAATGGCCATGCATCTCAGAAACACATCTCTCACTTTTGTCCACTTAATATTTTAAATTGTGGTTTAGAGATAACATATGCATTGTACCTTACACACAAGTTCAGAAATCTATATTCTCTGACTGACATAAGTGGCTTTTTGAACTAGGAATGTCACAGGCTTCAGTTTCTGCATCTGAAAATTGATTTTAATACTAGTTTTTCCTCAAAGAATTTTGAGGATTCCTTAAAAAGTATAATACTCAAAGTATTTATCATCAGGAAATTGAGTCATGTTGAGATAAATCCACACAAAACTTACATCAACTGTTCAAAATACCTTCATTAAATCTTGTTTTTCTCTCTCCCCTGAACTTATCGCCTTTCTGATGGACTTCAGTTCACTCAGAATGGCTTTGGCCTCACACAGTTCATACCCACTCTGGCCTCCGGACATTTTTTGGTCAATTCTGTGGAAAGAGGAAACATTAATACCAGATACAAAAAATAACACTAATATGTCTGCTGTTCTGCTTCAGGCAGAAGCATAGTTAGAAAACAGAAGGGAAGGAGATAAGAGATACCATTTCCTGTAACAGACATGCAAAGAGGAAAAGGGACATTCAAGTCTCCATTAAAATACCTACTACTAAATCCTTGGCAAAAACATCGAGCTATCTAACACACACACAGAGTGCCCAGTGAACAGCTTTTGCTGACATAATGAAATTTCATGGAAAAATGCTTCTGTTGGCTTTAAAACCACCTCAGCTAAACTAGTGGGGCCTTACCAAAGGCAGAGAATCCACAAGCAATTTTAGTTTATCCACCCTTAAAGACATAAGAGGCACAGAGCACTGAAGACGCCTACACATGCTACCAAGAGTATAGCATTACTGCTGCCAACACTGTCAAAATTCCCATCCCCAGCGTAAGTCTTTATAGCATATGAAGCACCTTTCACACTGTTAACTGTTTGTGATCCTTACAAAAGCAGAATTTAGTAGTAGTAGTAGTATTCCTCTACCCAGACCCACGTTGTGACATGGGCAGACATGCAAGCTTCTCGATACTAATCAGCCTTGTAGAGAAGAAATGTAACCAGCAGCATTCTTGTCTCAGCATCCTTCTCGTTCACCATAATCCTAGGCATTAACTGTCTGGAACAGCTGGGTCCTGCTCAGCCAGTCACCAGACTCTCTGTATTCACAAAACCTCAGGATAATTAACATCCTATGTCATACATTGGACAATTTATTAAATTCCTGGACTATCAATGATTTTAAAAACTGTAACTTGAAAATAACAAAAAGCCCCTAAACTTAGAAAAAGATATTTCATTTTAGCATTTCCATATTTACTTCAAGAAGTAGTTTGTGAACACATTTGATGTCTAGTTTAACTGAGCCTTTCATAGCATCATAGAAATGACTGCAGCTGTGCTTCACAAAATTAAAACCAAGAGCCACCTTCACAAAAGTCAAGCATTTAGTAGAGAACACATTCTTTTATAATGCAATTGGTTTTCTGTTTTTATCATCATTCATCATCTTTGCTAGAAGACATTAACCTTGTGAGTGAGGAATGAGCAAACATTTTAATGATTAGAAGCGATCTCCAGCATCCCCTGCAAGAATAGCAACTTGCACAAAACACCTGTGACTGTATTCTACTTTTCTTCCAGTTTCATGCACAAAGAAATCAAGGTTCTAAAGCAGCCTTTCAAGCTGTGAGCATGTCTGTTTTCCTTTCTCCACATCTCAGTTTTTGTTCAAACTAGAACTGCATTTCTGTAAGAAAATTACCTATGTGACTCAGCACTCAAATTCCTATTCAAGGATATATTTGTTTCAGCTTGAAAGTTCCTCAAACCCTTTCATAGGTAGGCATTTACTTACTGTCTGGCAACACTCAATTTTTGGGAACTTATCAGGTTGCTAAGGTCAAATAGATACAGGATATGCCAACAATTGGGATCATGAATGAACAGTTGGGTAATACACCACATGCTGCCTAGTAATATGATGTGCCACATTCAGATCGCAACTGCTTTGTTCTGTATATATTAAAGATGGACAAGAAGGATCTCTGACATAAGATATTCCATCTTCCTGTTTTAAATTCATGGGATTACTACTGTTTGAAAGTGTCTGACTGAATTTTAAAAACAAACGTCCATTGTGTTTCTGTGGAATGCTGTTGACAGTTTCTGAAACATGCTTTGGATTCCTATCAAAATGGCTTGTGAGCAGGCTGCTTTAAAACAATACTTCATTGTTGAATTAATATAATAAAACCAGCATGATTGGCTAACCTTTAATCCTGGGACAGCAGCATGGGTTTTTATTACCTTAAGCCTTAGAATCAATATGTCTTTCTTCTAAACTTTGCCTCAAATGAAATCTGATTTATGGTTAAATAAATTCAATCAACTATCCTTTTCTCCTTTCACTCACTGCTAGTCTTTATATATTTAAATAAGGAACAAATCTTACATTTCTATTTTAGTCAAAATGAAGGAGGACAGAGACTTGACTCGCATCCTCCTAAGGTGCTGAGGGTTTTCAGTTCCCAATTGACATCAAACTGTTTATACTAGAAAAATGTTTTCTGTCCATTTTGACATGTCTCTAATTATGGCTGGCCATTTCCTGGACCAGAATTTTTTTTCTCCCACTTAAAAACATTTCTACTGTATAGAACCGATCTATTAAAACACACAGCCTACAAGAGGTTTTGGTTAGTACTGGGCACTGAACTCCAACGTCTCACCTCCAAACACAGATGCTCTGTCATACTTTGCAAATTGCTTCCCTGCATTTTAGTACTCTATCTGATGGATAGCTGGAAACACACTTCCCTTCTCCAACCTTTTGCCCATCTTTCCTATATATTCTGCAAGCTCTCCAGGAAAGATATTATTACTTATCTGACAGCACGCTGCCATACACAGGAGGTCCTGAGAAAAAAGGTAAATTAATCCAGACAATATTACATTAACGCTGTAACATTGCTTCTGCTACTGGAACTAGTGTACTAAGAGGACACAGCTCAGCATTTTACTGTGCAAATGTATCCTTAATGCATGGGCACATACCACAATACAGTAAACAACTAGCATTAATAAATTTCTGCTCACATTATTCAAGGAAACATGCTTGTTAGCAAGGTTTCCTCTGCAGGCAGCTCTCTGTGGTGACAGTTCCAGTAATATTCAATATTTTAGGGCCCAACTTTGTAAGTCAGGAACAGCAGGGAATGTTCAGACTGAAAAAAAAAAATAATTCCATACTAATAATACAACTGGTTAAATACCCAGAATGCTCTCCCTGTTCAGCAACAGCCCTTTGGACACCAGGCATGCCAGCAACTTGAACAAGGAAAGTCAGGACTCTAATCTTCAAATTGCGACTCCTTTCAAACCCTGCACAGTTATGTACCATTTATACCTCTGAAACAGCACCCTCTTCTCTCTCGAGTTCAGGTGGGGAAGGAGGTAAGAAAGACCTAATTAATTTTTCAAATTTAATAAAAAATTTTTAAACAAGACATGTAAAGCAGCTAAATTCTTCCTTGGGACCCACAACCACTGCACTTCTTTCTGCCTCTCTACAATACAAGCTACCTCATGGAGAAAAAAAAAAAAAACAGGAGGGGGAACAGATGTCATGTTAACACTTGCACAATAAGTTTGCCATTTCTACAGATTTCCTGCTTCCTAACCACAACAAAAAGAGTAATTAGATTCTCATTCCCCCCCCCCAATAATTCACATAAAATGGATCCAATTCCACCAAAAAAAAAAAAAAAAAAAAAAAATCAAGCGCCTGAATTAAGTCAGTTTTGACTATTTTCCTTTACTCACTGTTGCAGTGTTTCAAAACCCTGCTCCTTGTACAGCAGCTCTTGCTTCATCTGTGAGAGTTCTCTCTTCAGCTTCTTAACCTTGTGTGTTAAATCAAAGCAAGAGTTAGAAAATTCCTCTTGTTAAACAGCGTAACACATGGCTTTGAACAATTAATGTATTCTCTTACATCAGACGAGACAAAAAAGGAAAGTAAATTGCTCTACTGACACATATTAAAAACAAAAGGATCTGTTCTCCTCCTGATGTCTATGGGCAACATGGTTTAGTATTGAAGGGACACAAGCAGATTAAATTACATTCCTTATTTGTATCGATACCACACTGTGTTATTAAACCTGAGAGAACTTTAACAAGTAATTTACTTCGCACTTGTTAAGCATGCATTCCAACTGTCCTACAGGGACATGCCTGTTTATTTTTAAGCTTATTATATTTTCATTTTTTCATTCCAGGAAGCTTTCAGTCATTCGCACTGTAAAAGATAAAGTGTGGACTCCTCTTTTTTTTTTTTCCTATGAACCATCATTTCTTATAAAGCTTTACAGACGCTGGATCCCTAAGCATGTAATTCACAATCATTTAATTCGAAGACAACAATCACTAAACACATTTGGATCACAAATATAGGCACCTAGTAAACAGCAATGTCTTTGGCAAAACATTCCCTACTTTCCCTAAATTTGCATGCCCAATTGCTTTTTAACCTTAATATTGCTGTTTCAGATGTCAGCAGATACGAATACACTACAAAATATTTATGCAGCAAAATTAAATAAAAAAATTAAATGGAGGGGTTTTTTATGTCATGCTTTCCAAACATCGTAAAACAAAGTTTCTGGACCAGCTATAAATGAGTGTACTTTAACACAAAGTAACATTAATCCTCAGCATTCATATAGAAAGAGAAATGCCTCCTTGAAATGTGGAGTCCCAAATTTTAGTATTTATACATCTATACCTGGCTCATTTGCACTCTACATACTAGCCAGATATTGTTAGGCTTTTTAACTTTCCAATCAGCAAGGTGAAAAATTAAAAGTCTGCTGGAAATCCTCTGCTGTCACCTACCACTGTGAAATTCTTGCTTTTTTTCATATAGGTCCTCAGACATTCAACTCTTTTGAAAAATGGTTTATATTAAAAAGAAAATTAAAAGAAACACTTTAACTGAAATTAATTTCAAAATATGTCTCTAAGACTTTGTATCCAAATCCCCTTAGACTTCCTACTTGGCGTTATTCTTCAAATTAAGAAAAAACAAAAGTGAGATTCCCAACAAGCCAGGTGACCCAAAGTACTGAGCATCAGCAGCTGCTGTCACTTTCCAGGAGACTTAAAATGCTTTGTATGTCTAAAATAAGTGATTTGTGGGGTCTTTGTATGGGTTTGTGACTCACGTAGGCATTCAAGTTTGTAGCTTCTGGCTAATGAGTTTTCTGTGACAGAAATAAAATGCTTTCAATCTCCACCTTTCTCCAAAGCAAAGTCTGTTCTCTAGATGAGGGGTTAGGTTCAGTCTCTTGGAAACTATCATCACTAGTTGCCTTACTTGGCAGAAAACAGTTTTTATTTTGACTGAATAGTTAGAATGATAAATAGGCAATGTCTCTACGTACACATTCAGTGTTCCTTAGCTGTTTCTTCCCTGACTATCATGAAAACCCCCAAACTCTCAAGTGTTCCGATCAAGGTTATAGAAAATGTACAGATATCATCTCTATGTTGCAGGCAAAGTAATGTGTAAAACATGAAAGAAGTCCTAACTTTTCTGAGAAACACAGAATGGCCAAAACTCTCTTTTTTTTTTTTTTTAAATCAGAAATGTGAATTTATAATGATAGCAGAAGGCACATTTGATTTCAATTTAGGGGATTGGATCTCTCAGAAACCCTTATATTTTTCCTCAAGATCATCTTCTGAGTGTCCTCCATTGTAATTCATCATCATTTCATTATCAAGAAATGTGAGTTAGGCACATTATCCTGGAAGGACGTGACCTACATCGTAATATAGAGTCCATGTTTACCGCATCATACTTGCATTAAACTATTCCAGCGCTCTTTGTCTTCTCCTTCAAAACTTTCATATAATTGCCACTTTTTCACAACTCTTCACTTGTTTTATCCTTCACCCCCTTCCTACTGCTTCTGCACATCATCTTAAATCACCTGACAGGCCTCTCGCTTCCTCCTTCTAACCACATCTTCAAGCAAGCTCCTGTTCTTGGCCCCAGCACTTGAGTACTAATGGAACAACAATTCCCTCCGTGTTTTTATAAAGGTGCATCCCTTATTCACTGCATATGTGTAAAGCATACTGTGACCACATATGCTTTGTGTTGTTTGAATTATCTTACTGATTACTAATTAAGACGCCAAATGGCCCCACTCAAAAGTCTACTGCAGGATCAGATTCTTCAATTCTGATTTTGTGAGAAAGATCTTTCTTCTGCTTATTTAACAGCTGTCAGATTTCTGTCGTATTTTCTCCACGACCTATTGCGCAATAGACAATTCATGTATCCAAAAGGCTCCACATGCATATATTAAGCACAGCTAACAAGGAAAAGGCCAAAGGCCAATTCAGAACTTCCTTGAATGCTGAGTTTCCCCCCTCCAGCCACCATTAACCTGATGATACCAGTAAGCTTCAGCCAGCATGAGAGAAAGAGGTTTAGTACCTCTGACCTAATAGTTTACTAAACAATGTGCAAATTTTAACTAGCTGGCTAGCAGCTTACTAATGACTAACTTTGCTTCCCATTAAGTCCATGCACGCATGTACTGTAAAATACCAAAAGGTGGCATATTAGCAAGCATCCTCAAACATTCACAGAAGGGTAAACTATGATAACAGCCATACCTCTCTTGCCATCTTCCATGAAAACCACTTCCCAGCCCTAGCATCACAGGGCTCCACTTTCTCTTATCTCAATGATTTTCATATCCAGTGGCTTTGGATGACAACACACTTTATGCTGATATAGACATTCTTGGACTGTACCCTTCTAAACTGCAGACAAGATTCAGGTCACCTATTTTAGGCACATGTGCACCTTGGGCTTTGCAATGCCAATAAATCAGGTGTTGGGAAGCAGCAGGGTATTAGGCTCCTTGACTCCAAGAAACAATGAAGAGAGGAAAGCGCCTCCAAAAAATGAGCTACTGTGATCAACACATCTGCCCCTCTCCTTCGCGAACAAACTGTAGATCTGCAGCCAGGAAGTGATTCAGTGTTTCTGATTCTTGAGCTGAGAGGTGATAAGAGCTAAGTAACAGGAAAAACTGAGTGCAGGACCGCATCTGAAATTTTCCCTCTGACTTGTAGGTGACTGTATTTAAATTTGGTCACATGTTTTATTCTTTAACAACACTGCTGATTTCCCAAATATACTAATGACCCCCTTGCCAAATGGAGCATCTATTACTGCTCCACTCATTTTACAAAGAAGCTCTCACCTTGTCTTCATTCTTGTTCCTGACAGGGTCCTTACTGCTATTGATTCTCCCTAATCAACTTACAAAATTTTTCCTCCCACCTCCTCCAGTGTTGAAATAAGTTCTCTCACTAACCACCTTCCCTTTTCCTTAAAGGATAAGGGACTACAAATTGAGATTGGTAAGGATGAACAGCTGTACAAGCAGTCAGGAGAACAATACCCAGACACCAGTTTTACAGGGTACTCCACCCCGGATTTATACTGGGTTTTAAAATTTTAATTAGCTCTCCCACAGTTTCTTTTAAACATTAGTTGTTTAGACTCCTAATCATAACTCTTATTCTAGGTGAAGGAGGATGTTACTCTTGGAGGCTTCTGAGTGCTGCTCTGTGCAGAAACCAGGAGGGGGCAATGGAAGAGCTGAGTAACTGCTGTCGCTTGTGCTGCTCCTGCTCCCGCAGTCTGTGTTCCAGCCCTCGCCCAAGGACTATGCTGTGAGGTGCTGTCTTTTTAACCTGCGTGGTTTGATCCAATTTTTTTCATTACTAACTACAAAAAGCCCAGGCTATCCACAGAGCATTATCTATCACAGCTTAAATAAATGAACTCCTGATGTAGATTCTGAATGTCTTCCACACCATTTCCTCCTTATTCAAGATAAATTCACTAGAGACGAACCTGTGAATGCAAGTTCTTTATATGGTGCCTCTTAGTGACCATACTGAACAGAGTTGACCAAATAATGGATTTTTGTTCATTAGCAATTTCAAAATGCAAACACAAACTTTCACTCTTGATCTGAACTGTTCCATTTTGACAAAACAGAACAAAGTTTCACACCATTACTGAAAAGTGTTTTTTAAACCAGCAGAAATTTGTGACGCAGTTCATGTAGTTAGCAGTGCTTTTTTTCACATATTGTGTAAAAACAGTCATCTAGCTGCAGCTCATCTTGGTCTACTACTTTTCTATTTTCACCTAAAGTTTTTTACTCTTCCTTTTAAAAACAAAAGCATATAAGTGAAAACAGTTATCGGATTTATTTAAATCCACATCTAATTAGAATATATGTCAAAGTCTTCCCTAAACGTGTTATCTGAAAGTAACAGGGATGGTTTTAAAAATTCATTAAAAATCTCTGAATGGTATTCATGAGAATATTAAGAGGTTTCAGTACCAGGGTACAAGATACATATGCTAGTTCAAGTTTTGCTTATTCTATAGTCAGAAACTTTGCACACAGAATACAAAGGAATAGGAGTTAAGCACTCTCACCCTCAATCTTGTAGTGGAGATTTCAGCCTTCAGAATGTCAGGGTCATATTTTGTGCTTGACGAAGAGCCTGAGAACACTTTTTAAAAAAGACAAAAAAAGGACAAATATTTAAGTACTTTTAAATCATTAATTAGTCCCTTTGTCAATGAATCCACATTGATCTAAAACTACAAGTGCAGAAAAACATATGATACTTTTAAAAAAATCCTTTTTATGGAGTTGGCAGCATTGCAGGAAGGCAATAATTAATGAACAATCAAAATTTCCCGCTTTTTTCCCCTACCACTATTCGGTATCTCTCTTCCTTGCCTTATCCCAGGAACCTGAAGTAGCACCTCATTCACCCCGGCTTTCTATCCCTTGCTTTCCTTTCCCATTGTTCTAGCTGAGCGATCATGCAATCACTTCTTCCTGGAAGTTGTAATTTCTATGAAGATTTCTGGAAACCAGCAGATTTATTCAGAAGCCTCAGAGGTTCGCCACTCAATTCTGCCCCAGCTGTACACGGTATTTTTATCACACCATCTACTTCCAAGGGAGATGTCTGGCCAACAGCACTTCACTGCATGCCAGTTCCTTGCCCAACGTTGTGACATGTATCTCTACTTCACCTCTGATCACAGCACACAGGCTACAAAATTATTGTATGCTATTCTTATAAAGCAGCAACAGATTCCCTCCATGGCCTATTGCAGACACCTGTTAACACAGTAGGGTTGTTTCAGTATGCAGCCAAGAAGTGCAGGAGATCCTATTTACTTTGAACCTAGATTTGGCAGAACGTTGTTCGGACAAACTGCATGACAAATTAGATTTCAGAGCCAACTGCTCTAAACCACGGTTTAAAGGAGTTCAATTGTATCAGAGAGAAAAGGGTTCTCTCCAGCAGAATATCTTTATCTTAAATAAATAAATAAACAGTAGGGATGCTACCTCTAAAAAAGCCAGAGTACAAGGTGTTCATGGCAAACCTTGAAAACTCATCCTAAAGAGAAACAGGAACCCCTGCAAGGCACGGATCAAAGAAGTTACATTGTATTCTCTGCTGTACTTACAGCTTGTACGAGAGCTTGATTTTTCTTTGTAGGCATCATTCAACCGTACATACTCATCCAGTGCAAGTGCTAGCCTCTGTTCTTTCACCTGGTACAGTTCTTTCTGAGTACTGAGAGCATCCTGGGCTATCATAAGATAATCTTTTAACATTCTCTCTTGTTCTTGCCTCCATTGTTTCCTGGGATCTTCTATTTGTGTTGTTTCTTTATAGGAGAAAAAGAAAGGATTTAAAGAAATCTCTGCTGAAGATTGACATTGACAACCAGTTTTTCTGCCTTGTAATCCACAATTACAGAATTCTAAACCATAGTTTGCCTTTGGCTACAAAGTAGATGCTCGATTTTATTTAATTTTTTCTTTGCCACAATAGTGTGTCTAAGAAACAGTATTTAATGGATCAATTGCAAAATTGGTAATTAGGGTACAATAAGTAAATGCTTATGTAGATCATTCCCACATCTTCAACTTTGAATTAGTAGCATCCTAAAACTCAAGAAAAAGCCTACTTTTTGCATCAGTGTATTTGGAAATAAAGTCTTTCAATGACATCTTAAAAATGAATGCATTTCTGAACAAAAATGAAAAGTAATCATAGCTATTAAATTTTTTTTCAACCCCCTTCTTCCCCCACTTCATTGATTTTTACAGCTATGTGTTACCCATGTTTTATAGCGGTTATCGCTCTCCTTTCCCTCTACAAAAACAGTTTTATCTTTTCCCCTGCAACTGAACTAATAGATCATTAACTCTCCAGATCATCTCACCTAACTCTATCCCTACGCCTGCGAGGCATCTGATCCAAGACACAGCTTTCTTTTATGGTCAGTAGACAGAGGGGGCCACCCTCAGAAGGCACTTCACTCCGTCAGGGAGAGGTGCCCAAGATACATGGGACCGAACTGCCTTTCTGAGGTGTCCGCCTCTTTCCACTGACCACCCAGGTAATGTAAATGAGTAGGCTGGAACAGGTCCTTAATTCTCAAAGGGCTTCAGGTCATCCATTTTAACTCCAGCAGCCACACAGAAAACAGACTTGCATAGAACACAGAGACAAGAGGATCAGACATAACAGGTATTAACATGTATATATACATATTAAGGACACATGTGATGTGATAAATCTAATTGTAAGTTTTAAGATATTTTTTTCTTAATGTAAATATGCAAAGAGGAATAGTTAAGGCTGAATGTTCATCAATAATATTTCCTGACTTAGTTCAACACTTTCTGAAGCTGTACAATGAACATTCTTACTTTAAAGCAGCACTAAGTACAAAAACATTCTCATATGACATACCCATGAACAGTCTGAAATCTAAATGCAAATGTGCACCGAACTGCATTTTGTTTGAAAGTTATATAGTGTATATATACATAGATCTACAGATATTAAAAGTAACATTCAATACTAAGCTATTTATGTACAAAGTATTTATTTCAAAATTTTTCTGCAAAAAGGAGGAGGGAAATTTATTCTCTGGGTTAGATTTCTGCCACTTTAGTTCTCTGAATTGTTCTACTGTGAGAACCAATGCAGAGGGTTAAAAAAAAACAGGAACAGGTAGGGGGAAAAAAGAACTGCAGCAGAGCCAATCTGACTGCTCTAAACTGTAGCTGAAGTACACTCTTGGGGAGAAGGCACTCTTTCAATCCCATATATGAAAACAGATTTTGTAACAGCAAAAAGCAAGAGCTGATAACAACAGGTTCTGGTTAAGTACAATTTCCCACACTGACTGACTACCAGTTTTTCAAAAGCCTTTTTGGTGGTAATATCACATAAACCAAAAGACATCTAAATAAAAAGAAGTATCCCATAAAACTAACACTGTAGAATCCTAATCTGACAATGTCTATGAACAGCTGATGCTTTTAAAAAACAATTGATACACATACAACCCCCACTCCACTTACAAATGTGACAAGTTTTTGTATTTCTACTTGCGAAAGGTATTTCTTAGATGTGCACAATGGATGCATAAAGAGTATAAATCACATAAACCCAAGTGTGGTGCACAGAAGATTAAAGCAGAGAAGCTTTATACACACAGTTGGTTTTCCAATAATCCCAACAGGACCACTCTCTTGAAGAAACTAACTATAGCTATGGACACACACACACACACACACACACATATATCCAATGTTTATAGCCACCTGCTCTTTTCCACAAAGATATCAGGCACACAAAAGCAGCAAATCAATACCTTTTCTCTCCTAAATGGTCAACACATGTCCCTATGTGTGGCCACTTATTGCTGTTGTGCTTTAACACACCTCCACATTCACAGTTATTTACACAAGATAAGAAGTGCTGGTCTCCAGAGCTGTCCTGTTTTGTGAAGCAGGATGAAGAGCATGAAGCAGGATTCTCATGGGTCAATGATCAAATAGGATAAATGCAGTTATGTTGGCTTTTTAGAAGAATGTAATGATGTGATTGTGTTTTAAGAGTGCAACCAGCAGCCACCGAATAATCTTACAAGATTGGAAGGCCTCATCTTCGAGCATGTTATAGGTAATTGCTTTGCAGGTTTTAAGTGAGGATTGCTCAACATGCAGCCCAAAGACCAAATGTAGCCTGCAGAGTTCTAAAACATGGCCTACAGATGCCCTGTCCTTGTGACTGAAAGAGAAGGACAAAGCTGATCAACAGCAGATTATTTTGTATTGCTGACAATCAAACATTTTCTTTTTGCCTCTCCAAGCTGCATGTGCAAAACAATACTATGATTACATGAGATAACTTTTTTTATACTGATAGTAATAAACAAGTTAAAGGTAATCCTGCATTTTAAAAATTGCACGCTAACTTCAACATAGTGAGCTTTCGGTATTTGCCTGTGCAGGCACATTGACCGATCAAATTATTCTCAGCCAATTCTACCTGCATGTATTTTATTCCAGAACAAATGCTCAGCTGGGAAAATACATAATCCTGGAAAAAGCAAAGCAGTACTGGAATGACTACCCCAGAATTACTGCTCAACTTTTACCAAGCAGTGAAGGCTCTGGAATATTTCTCACTCTGTCTTAAATATTATGAAGTAGAAAACCCAAAAAAGGATATCACTTGTTTGGCAAGTTGTTCATATACATAAAAAAATGTGCACCTGTGTAGCAGCACCATATGCTTGTTCATCTATAATTTTCAGATGTCTCAGTTTTAATCAGGTTTACCCCACAGAGGAATAAAACAAAACAGAACTTCAGATAATATTTCTGGTACTGTAGTGCTGCGTTTTGAAAAGTATGTTCATTTGAGCACATGTGCCTTCCAAGAGCCAATAAAGTTTTTTAAGAAGTAGAGTTCTTTCAAAAACAAATATTTATACTTCTCAGGGTAAAGCCTCACAAAGATAAGGACTTTTTTCCTTCAGCAAGAATATTTTAAATACCTGCTGTTAAGGTCAACCGTATATACAAGAATATTATTAGGATAGCTACATGCATGTCACTGAGGGAACAGCTTGCTGAACATTTCAAAATGAGATGTGAAGCCCTTCATGCTTAAACCAAAGAGTGAGATGTAAACCACAAAGAACATCCAAACATTTTCCTACCCTTATTATTCAACAGTTGATGTAAAATAAACTTGGGAGATCTCATTCCTTTTTTAGGACTGCAACAGGTTGCCTTACAACCTTGGCTGCAGCAGGTAAGAATCACACAAACTAGACAGAGGGGGAGATGTTATTTCTGCTGGTCAGGTGAGGAGTAAGCACTGGTTATGAACACTAGACAGAGCTGTAGGGTTGTATCTGTTCTAGAAAATGCCAACTGGACTTTCATCAGCAGCAGTGGACAGCAAACAAGCCATCCCCCTCAGCACAACCTCTCCAATACTTTCTGCATCACCAGATAGTTAAAATCAAGAGTTCAGCTGTTTCTTGTAGAGAAAGTGAAGAAATACTGGCCATCATTTCCCATGTCAAACTTACAACATGAACTAAAGGAATCTCCTTAAAACAGATATTTAGACAACTAAGAGTTGTACATTAGACTATCAAGAGCACTGCTTAGATTAAAAAAAATATTTATATATCAACTTCCTCTGTCCAATCACAATGCAAAATAATGATCCATAGTAACAGAACAAGAAGGGTGGTGGTGTGCCTAAAATTCAGGTTACGCATTCCTAATTTGACTTGGTTTTAGTGTCATTTGTCAAAGCCACTTGCAAATCAAAATTACTCAATTCTATTAAGAGATCTTGATTTAAAACCAATTAATTTAACTTCAAACAGATTACTGCAAGTGTGTAGTTAATAAGTTCATAAAAAAATATAAACAAGAAATTTATTCCCTCCTATTTTTAAAGATCCAAGTGACAACCCACACAGAGAAAATTCTGTGAGACAGAAAACACTTGTGGTCTCTCCCAGCAGAACTGCATAAGCGGCAGGATGGCATGCTCCACCCAAGGACATTCCTGTGCACTGAAATGATCACAGCCCTGTAACACAGAAGAGGAAGCTGCCCTGGCATTAATCATTGCTATTCATGAAATGCACTCCTCCTGGCTCACTGCCAGCCAGGTTTGATGCACTTAAACTCAGCAAAAAATTTGGCCCAAATAATAATTCAAAACCAAATTTCCAGGACTGACTTTATGCCTTGAAAGTTTTGTTTAATCCTATTGCTTGAACTTGCTTCAAGGGCAGCAACGTTATGCATGCTCAGTGTAATTACACATAAAATATATATTATACATAGGACACAGGTGACAGGCATGCCATTTTTTAAAAAAATTTCATATGTTATGTTCCTGTCTAATATCAAGAAGCTCTGCCAAATTTTTACAGTCTACATGAACAGAGGGAAATTATTACCTTATCAGCAGGAGATCGTATTTCCTTAAAATACATGAAATTAAAATCCCACTAGAAAATCCCACAGGGAAGGGAACAGCTCCCTGACGCTCTATTGCTAGACATGAGAGAATTGGACATTTTCTACAGGATTAACAATATGTGGAAGCAATAGTTTTCCAACATCTCCCCTTGCCAAACAAAATAATAGCATCGATTGGCTCTAGAATGACCCACATGTAAGCTGTCTTCAGTTAGACATGCTGAATTTAGGCAACACAGAAAACAAGTACTCTCAAGGGGTCCCACTAAGAAAAATGCCGAACATGCCAGACTGCTACTTGAGAAGGACACATACATAGCAAGAGGAGACAAAATTGTGACAATATACT